TGCAAGAAGTCGAGAAATGAGTTTTTTCGCGGTTTTCTCAGCCTTTTTGCCTTTAGTCACTACTCTACGGACATCATTAAGTTTGTAGGTAGCGAAGGAGCTTACTTGCTGAACGAATCCAGCTTGGTGTGTGACTTTTCAAGCGATTTTGATTCCACGGTTGATTCGATTAACTTGGACAGTCGCTTGAAGAGAATCACTTAAAAGACGGTCTAAAGGCAAATCCTTGGAGCTGCCACAGTAATTTTTGGATGTTTTGGCTATTGAGGAACAAAAGCGACTTGAAATTTTGGCAGATTTCCGAGAAGGCTGTAGACTTTATATAAATTTCTATTTCAGATTGGACGGGACGGTTGCTCGCGCTGTGTGTAGTTTTCTCCCAGAATTCATTGCGCTCAAAAATCCGGTTAAAACACGTGTTCTGAATCAGTGTCCAAAGARAAAGCCGTAGCATGAGATGTTTATAGAAAATTTGAAAAAAAAAACGCTTAAATGACAGAAGTAGGACTAAAATTGGGTGCAAACAGTAATTCGCTTGTTAAAATCTAGAATTGTGTAGGAAAAATCACAAGAAAAAAACGGTATTTTCACTGTAGTAAATTAGCTTCGAAACTGCATGGTTTCGTTCTGGTGACTTCGTCTTTCCCTTTAATTTCAAATAAGTATTTTATGCATGTTATCGACATCATTTTGCGCACAGCGTAGACGATCAGCAGTGCAGAATTTGAAAGGGGGTGTTTCTTTAGAAACATGGACAAAAACACTTAAAACTAGCCCAAAAACTAACCCTAAACCTAACCCTAAAACCTAACCCTTCCATCGTATTCTAACCCTAAGCCTAACCCCAAACCAGAACCCTAATCGTTGCCCTAGGTTACAGAAACCCCAAGCATTGCCAAAGACTAGTCCTAAGCCTAACCTCAGCTATGGGGAGGGGAGGGGAGGGTGCAGTCCGTAATTTTAATAAACCGGGGTTTTTTTCTTTTTTCGGAGGAAATAACGATAAAGAAGTAGCAAACATGATAATTTACACTAAAAATACTCGATTGAAGTGATTTTTTTTTCAATTTATCGGAAATTTCAAAAATGCCCTAAAAAGTCACTTTGGCCATTTCCGCAGCTGGGCCTTCATTTGTACTTCTAATAAACTTTACATCAGGCAAATGATGAGATTGACTATAAGAATAGGAATTGCCGTCTGAACGATAATTGACGACGAAAGGGTCTCTGATGCCTGCACCTGTATCTATCAAACAAAATATGTAAAAATAGAAATGACTTGAAAATTTTGGCATGGTAGTGAAGCACGAAAGATTTAAGTGAATCAGTTATTGCATTGCAATACAGAACAGTAACATGTGAAGTTGTGTAAAGAATGATGTTCTCGTCTTTCTTAGGGTGTTTTAAATGGTGTCACTAAAGGCAATCTTATTCGCAACACAATCAGGAAACTACCGGTGCAATTCATYTTGCCGCTCATCAAAGAGGTGTGTACAATGCATTGCGTGTACAGTAATTCATGATGTAATTTGATTGATGAACTGAAGAATTTTATCCAAACAAGAAGAAAGCTGGAAGATTTAAAAGCTCATGTTCATCTAAGAATCTTTTTGATCATTTCTTTTTTTCATCTCTATTATTGAAGGGTTCTAAGTTCTAATAGCAAAGTTTCATGTGTGAGAAAATTGGGCAAAGATTCTTAGATGCATGTGGGCCATTAATACCAGAACTTAGTAACATGTAAACTGATGCAAGTCATGTGAATATGTTCAATGTCATTTGCATGTTTATTAAATTTAGTGTTTACACAATGATGCCATTGTAMGAAAATGTTGTTTTTGTTGTTTTCCAGTTGATTTACAGAATCCAGCTTTCACCAAACAGGTTAGTAATTCTYAAGSYTTTGAAAATTGTGGATTGGCTTTSTGGATYACTAGTTTTAATGCAAATGATTTGTGTCTTGCAGAGGTGGCATGCTMGCAATTTGGCTGAAATATATTTTGAATATTCACATGTCATATCTTATGGCGGTAAGTTGTTGGAACACCCTCAAGCATCATAGATATCCTTCCTTTATTTTTATGCAGTATTTTTCTTAAGTGTACAATGATTTGCTTTCATAAGCAATCAAAGAGAAACTGGTGGTCGARTGTCACTCACTCACTCATTCACTCACTTTCCTGTTAACTGAAATGACTTTATTCTGTTAGCGTGCACAATCAATGGTGCAATAATGTTCAACTACATGTATGCATGATTCTTCCTTATGTTTTAACTCTGAATTTGCAGGTCCCTAATGTKGTTGAGTCACTAAGTAGTCTTTACACTATGATGGAAACTCGTGTTGGTGTTTATAGCAAGTTGTGCAAGCTTCAAGGAAGACTTGACTTGGTTTTATCTCAGGTCAGACATGTAAACAACTTTTCTGCATATGTATGTAGAAGGCCTCTAGTCTTGCTAGATCAGCATGGAAATTATAGAGCGTTTATATATGCATATTCATGATTTCAGGTGGAAATGCAAAATGAATCACATTTAGATGAACAAAGCCTTGATACACCACTTGCAGTTTATGACGAAGAAGGTATTAATGGTTATTTCAAATTAGAAGAGATATTTTGAATTATTTGTAAAATGTACAAATCGTTTGCAAATAGAGTGGAAAGCTATTTTCTTTCTCATAAACCCGGTACACTTTGAAAATAAATAGTGCCATCTAAAGGGTAAATACCTACCCAGTGGATAAAATCAAAATCCATACAAATTCTATGGGTACAAACTATCCCTACAGATGAGTCATGATTTTCTACATTAAAAAAGTGATCTTTTTGTCTTGATCTAGATTCAGAAGAAGATGATGTTCGCGTTGCTGGTAACCTGGCTCTTGAAGGAGAACAGTCAGATTCCGAGGTATTATATCTAAGACCTTGTACTGGTCTTACTTTACTTTACAGGCGTATGATGATATTACATTATTAGGAATTGCCGTCAGATCGATTTATGACGACAAAAGGGTCTCTGATGCCTGGCTGTTGTACCAGTAAATGAAAAAATAATTATCAAAAAGCTATAATAGTATTCTCATTTTTGGTTTTTAATATCAAAGGATAAATGGGACGAAGAAATGGAGGACGAGGGGGACATTTCAAGTGATTCTGAAGAGGAAGAAGAAAATGAAACAACAAAGAATGATGACAATGACAGTGATGATGATGACGATGACGATGATGATGACGATCAACAAGACTGAACTTTATTTTCTTTCAGAGCATAAAATTTTAAAAATCGCTCCTTTCCCTATACGACACGGAACCATCCTACTCGCCCAGAACACACTAATCTGTAAATACATAAAATAATATAACATCAACAATTTTTGATTTCTTGASATTTGTGTTGACGAATTTTAAATGTTATATTAAACCATGTTTTACGTGTCATGTTTGTTTTCTTTTGTGTATTTTTTAGCTATGTATTTAAATGGTCAGTGGGGCCCAACTCTAAAGGCTGATTTACACGGTACGATTTGTCGCGTACGACTTGTAGTATACGATTTTCCTACTACAAGTCGTAGGATTTTAAGCAGTGGTTCAAAATCCTACTACAAGTCGTACGACTGTTGTAGACAAGTCGTAGGGGCATTTACACTGCGCGATTCGTATCGTATAGATAAGTGATAAACGACGTCACATACCTTGAGAGTAGAGTTTGTTTCTCCAGGTTTGATGGCATTTAGTTAAAAGAAGTTGCAACCCATTTTCACGACGTAACGCGATATATTGCATCTCATTCCGTAACAAGCAGGACGCGTTGAGAAACGTGTCAGAATTGAGGAATTGCAATTTTTCCAATGTCGACGTGACAGGCAAAKGGGTAGAGCCAAACACAACGGACCCTAATAAAATGCGCCCTTGGTTATTCCGAGCATGTGCTATATTATAGCCCTACCCGTTTTTATTTTGTCTAAGTACTATTATTCGTAATTATTTGTATTTAAAAGTGCTAATCGCTTGAATCGGACGCGMGTACGGGCTGCCCGAGTAATAAAGTCCTTGTTCCATATAGGTGATTTTCACTTCCAGAAATCTTTGTATAGTTTCGGTAACGCGCGCAAGCAATTAGGATCCCTACTGTTGTTCCAAATGGAATGGAAATCACTTCTCATAGTTGACGTGGATGGGGTGCCTGTGGGTAGAGCTATCAGAAACACGTGAYATTTGCCGCCATATTTCATTTCGAACAAGCATGGCGGTATCTAGGGGTCCTGGAAACACGAATTTAAAGCTTTGGTTCAGGTCCTTGGTCTTGTCTTCACAACAGGATATTAAGGTTAGTGATTGAACGTATGAAGATACAACTCTTCAAGAAAGCTACTTCGAGTAATTCTAAATTCTGTACCAGCATTTTGGTCTCGTCGGTCTTGGTGCAAGGCGGAATACTGTTTTAGTTATATGCAATAACAGCTCTTTACTTGAGAAAAAGGGATGACTCTGTTTACTTAGTTTTCTTTTTGCCTGGACGCACGACAAAAGCACATAAGTTTTATGTAGACGCGTTTGCGCGTCGACGTGCTTTGAGGTGAGAGGCAAGTTCGATGATCGGTCAAGTTCGATGACCGTCCGACACAGTGGCACTAGCAGGAATACCAGTACTTTGCAAAAGAATTTTAAAAGGCATTTTTAAAGCATTTCTAAACCATAACCTGCTTGGAAACCCAAACCCATAAAGCAAATATAGTGGATAGGGGAGTACCCCGGTCCCCGGGCTTTGATCTCTGTCCCACAATATATTTTTAGTTAGCTAGCAATTTGTTTTTTCACAGGACCAGTATAATTATTATTACACTCTAGCTCAACCTCGCAATAATCAATTCAAAACACCATATTATGTGCTAGTAAACTTTATTGCATACCCAACAGACAATTCATGAATTTTATTTGAAATTTTATTTAAAACTTATTTCAGAGAATTATATAATGGTTTCAGTGCTTTGTTTGGTGTTTTGGTAATCACAACTATGACTGCAGGAAACCATCATGTATATTCTCAAAAATAGCTTCAATTTGATTTTTTTTTGTGAGAAATATTCACAACATTTGTGTAAATCTACTTCAATCCATGCATCCTTTCTACCTAGTATTACAATATCATTCCATGTATATAAAGAAATATTTTTAGATCAAAATGAAACGGWGGGTCCTATGTTAATGGCAAATGTATTAATTTGAATGTTTGACCATGCAGTACTGAATATCTTAATGATGTTTATATTTTTTTGTGAACTTTAATTGTTTTTAAAACTTTTACATCAAAATATTGCCCATGAAATGCTTTTAATCCTTATTATTTGTGTTCTGCAATCAAATGAAGRATGCTTTTCAATTTAATATCCAGGTATACTTACCTTTGTTCCAGAGGTTTCTCTGTATAATTCTCCGTGTGTAAAATATCTCTGTTCTTCGCTGCGAAGCGGCAACATCGAGCAGAGAAACCTCTGGAACCAGGGTAAGGTATACTTTGTTTCAATATTTGTATAGGGATGACATATTTCTTCTAAAAGAAATTGGAAACATTAATATGTTTCACTGTAGAATGCTTTAAAACAGAGGTTCAGAGTTTTGGGACAATTAGGTGAATTGTCTATTCAATTAAAAAACCAAGCTTCATTGTGTAGTTTTGTGGATTACATAAGGGCTTTAGTGCAATTACTATGGCTTCAATTAACGTCTGTATTTGCCATAAATATCAATAAATTACAGATAGAATATCAAGTTYTGTCATTGGAAATTATTTTCAGCAATTATAGATGTCATTTTAGACGTGTTTGTAWTAAAWGTTTCTGGTCACWTGAAGTTTAATGACAAAATGTTTGCAAAACATCTTAGCCTTGATAAAAATTAATAGTTAAAGAAAATGAAAGGCTGGTTTTTGAATTATTTTTTTCTAATGGCATTTCAAAACATTGAAAAAATTCTGTTGAGCAACAAAAAAGGAAATGAAAAAAAGATGAAAATGAGAAGGATAAAGAAGTGACAAACATTAAATGTGATTGTATAACAAGGTTGAATGTAGAATATAAACACAAGTGACCATGAAGCCTATAAGTGCTGATAAGTTTACAATCATAATGTGAATTCATGCATATCATTTAGATAGCCTTGTGTTTTATTTTTTGTAAGGATTTAAACACACACTRTAAATGGCAAACAAAGCTTTTTGATAAGGATCTAGTCTGCTACAGAAAACTTAAATGATACATGTAGCACATAGAGCCTGTACCATTTAAGACTTTTGAACACATATTTAATGTGTAAACCTGTGTAGTAAACTTAATGGTTTTCAAATGTTTTTCCTTTTTGGCAATAGCTAAATTCACGCTCTTTGAATCGAGACAAAACCGTACATAATGTGCTAGATGAATATTGATAGCTATACATCTGTTTGTGTTTCAAGTACTTTGTTTTTTCTTCATTCAATTGAATATTGTCATAACATCATAACCTCTTGACAACCTTTGGGAAATGTTAACTTAATTAATATATATCAATGAGCCAATGAAATTTCTAGCTCTATAAATAATCGTAATTATCATACATCTGCTACCCAAGACAACTAAGATGTTAAATTTGATGAACATGGTTCACTACCCATATCAGTGTATAAACTATTTCATTTAAATTAAATTTTTCCATGATTATGAAACTAAAAACCAGATTAATTTGTCTTTGTAGTGTGAGATAAAAAAAAATGGTTTGTCTATTATATTACTTTGTAGACCTCTAGGTATAATATCTTTAAGTGAAACACTTCATTTATTTAACTGTGGATGTGTTTGTGTCAGTACTTAAATGTACAGCTAAAGAATAATGATTTGAGTGCTGATTAAGTCTATATTGCAATAAAATACAACTAGTGAAATATTGCTTTGCTGAAATGATAATGTGGAAGCATACAGGGTGGTTAGACTGATTCCACCAGTCTGTCAGGTCGCTCTTTTTTTTAGCGRCAAACCGAAAAATCGAGGAGCGAAAACTACGACTTATGGAATCAGTCTAACAAGATGGTCAGGAAAGACTATATTTATTAAAAAATGTGTAATTATGGTTATATTCAATTATTTATGATTAACATGAAATGAAAAAAAAATGTGCAAAGGTTTGAAAGTCATAATAATTCTGCTGCTATTTTGTACTATAACAGTGTTTGCCTATTATGATTTTCCTCACAAGTATCAATATATCCTTCATTTGCAATGTTTTGTTCATTTTCTAAGCCRTAACTAAGTCAATTGTTTGACTAAAAATTTTAATAAAAATGAACATATGTATGCAGAGTATTCTGGTCGCTGCCGTTAAATTACCATCCAAATGGCCTACATCTATCCTTTGTTATAAAAATATTTACAAAAACTGATCCATTTTTCATTATATATCTCCATAATTGAGATACTGACACTTAGCGAACTTAAATCCATTCAAATAAATCTTTCTTGCATCAACCACAGCACTTTTGAAATTCTCTGAAACAATGCTTGTCCAGAAGGATTCAAAATGAAAGAGAAAATCCTCACAACACATTTACTTTGAGATTGTTTTTCAAAATTAATTGTTTTAAGTGCTGTTATAATGTTTACTCTTCGACATGACAAGTCAAAAGTGACCCATCCAAATTCAGAATTGATGTGATTAAAATTGAAATATCTGGGCTTGAAAGCTATCACTAAAATATTTAGCATTTGGAAATATTTCCAGAAATTCCTTTGAATTAGCACTCTTTAATATTGATACCGATTGAGTGATGTACCTCTTGAATCTATCTAGTAACTAGAAATCATTTCTCTTCAATGTACTCCTTATATGATTTCTTGTGATRTTATCGAAGAAGAGTTTAAGTATACATAAACTTAAAAAAAAGATGCCTTGTTCAATTTGAATATTAATTATAATTGACGATGATAAATGAAATGTGTCAGTTGTGGTTTTTACATTAGTAAAATGTATATAAATACTTGATTGGTGTCTGTCAATAGACAGGTGGGTTTCCTTGGGTAGTAATTCTTGTTATTTGATACCATTCTCTTGACTGTAAATATCGTCTTCATTTTCTCTCATATTTGCTGCATCCCATATTTTCATACTTCCATCATAGGAAGCAGAGTAGAGCTTCTTTTTATGCTCCTGAAATATAAATSAGATTCATGAACTTAGAACAGTATACAAACTACAACATATTATATAGCTGATCATTACTTATAATTAATATATTAAAATATATATAAAATTAAATGTACATGTAGATCAAGCTATTTAACAATTTGAAAAATTAGACCACAAAGTCGAGTGGAATGTGGAATACAAGYTATTATGAATAGAACGTCGTTCATTAGCCAATCAGAATCAAGGTTCTCAGTAGAAGCAGTCAGCCGTATTTGTGAATTATTTGTTTGTTGTTTGTTAAAGGATTGCAGAAAACAGATGGTTACTTGTTCTCTTTTGACATCTACTTTGATTTTTACTGAAAACCCTGAGAATGTGACTATACTATAAAAAGTCTGCATTTTATTCACTCCTCACTGGGGGAGAGAGGCACGTAATGAGACTAGAGCTTTGCTTACCAATAAAGCAGTTATTGAACAGGTATGCAATTTGAAATTTCTCTTGCATACTCCAGATTTAGCATCAAATGCCTTGATTAACCCATTACCATCACCAGTGTAAACTGTAAAATACAAAATAAATTAATATGATAATATAACTGTTATATTACACTGAAAGACCTTGTATTGAAACCAGTATTGTTTTCATATTTTGTATGAGAACATGATAATAAAGGATATTACATGGGCRTGCAAAGATACAGATTTTATCTTCGAGTGTTGAAAAGATCTCTCACTAGTGAGCAAAGCGAATGAGTGAGAGATTTTCAACACAAAATGATAAAATTCATATCTGCAAGCGACCATGTAATCTATTATTTATTAAAACACTATCAATCCTTGTCTAGMAAGATATCAAAAGTGAACAATTTATAACTATCACTTACTTATGCCATCTTTGACAATCATTGTCCCAACAACATGCTTGTGACCTTTGTATGTTCTTGTACAATCTCCAAACTCAACAACCCAACATTTTGCAGTGTTGTCACCACTACTGGTGTACATTAACTTATTGACAACCTGGAAAAACAATAAAACAGAACATTTCAAACAGAAGTACAGTATAAAAAATAATAATAATAAAACAATTGAGTTTGACAGGAAAGATTTGTGTGAACTTAMGTTTTTTGCTAAAAGRTGGTTAARAAAATAGTCACGTTTTTAGAGATCAAACTGTGTTCTGAACGAAGKTGGTAACAGTTTATTAGCACAATRAAATCCGATGTTGAATATTGYATAAAATGTGGATATAATCAGAAAGCTAGAGTAAGACAATCAAACACCTTCATTTTACTCGATTTTAAACTTCAAACTGTAGCGTCACATCTTTTTCTAATACTTATAACTGACAGTACTTAAAAAATCAATTTGAACTGTTATTTTAAAAGACTTTGCCCAAAAAAATATATGAAAAATTAATTTTCTAAATTCAATGTAGATGCACACTTTTTAATAGAATACTCTCTTAGTTAATAGGCACTTAATCTGAAAAACAATCTGCCTACTCAAAGAGGAAGCTTTCTTTTATTTTGATGGACAAAAGACAGAAAGTCTATATGCATCATATGCTGAAGGAATTATCCAATTATTTCAATATTTCAGAAGGCAATTTTTTTTACCACCTCCCATCTATCCCTCTTAGCTTTTTCATATTGAATTGTTTAACTATTATACTTGGTTAATAATAATGATAAATTCTGTCTCTATAAAAGTTGAGAATTATCATTAGTTTATCATAAGTTTTGCTTGGTTAGAAGTTTGTCTTTGAATGTAAGCAATTATTGATTTCTGTTAGCCTGTTCTATAATCCCACACCAAAAAGGGTTTAAAATTTTGTCATCTTAAATCCCTTTGTTGGTTCAGCCCACATTGGCTCCTTACAAACCCACTCACTTGCATTAATTGATTTTAAGTTGACTGACTTTTAATGTTAATATAAACCTGTTCGTTTGACAATCTTAATTTCCCATGTTAGGTTGCTATGGCAACTTAAATGTCACAGGTGTTATATATTTTTCTGGACTAACAGCCATTATGTGTGCACCAGAAACTTCTTTTGAGATTTCTAGACATGTAAAAAAAACAACTTAATGCACAATAAAAGTAAATTGTATTGTTTTACTACTTATTATATAACAGGAATAGTTGCTCAATATCAATCTCAATCAACAGTAAACATATTTTATTCTTGTTTAATAATTTCTTAAAAGATCTGATCTTAACAAACATATTACAAGTTAATATCAAGAAAGAAAAACAGAACAAAATGAGACAACTCAAGTTGAATATGAAAAGATATACTCATTAACCCCCTACAAGGGTTAGAATTCAAAATACTATTTTTTGAGAATAATTCTTCATTGTTTTTCCTAAATTTGGGAAGTCAAAATGTTCTACCTGCTGTTTATAGTTCAGTTTACTGCATGTAACATTGTTGTAAATAAATGGTTTGAGCGGTGAATACGCAAGAGGCAAGGTGCAAATTGCTGAACTTGACCTATTAGACATGAGCGACATGATCTATTTATTGTGGTTATCATTGGTATTCATGTTATCGATCATAACAGACTCTTTAAAAGTATCTGGTAATTTTGTTCYGATTTATTTCTTAGTAGCTTCCAAGACATGCGATATATTCTATTCAACACTGCCAGAAATAAAGGCAATAGAAATAGCTATTGGATCTCTAGTTTTTGGCTAAATGTATCTTACTCAGAAATGAGACAGTGGGCTGGATATACATGAAGTGTAATGAATGTCAAAAATGTGATAATGATGATAATTATTTTTTTTCGAAAAGAAATATGTGTAGTGATTATACTAAAAGAAGTAATATGTGATATTAAACCAGCTTCCCAACACCAGTAACATCTTATGATCTTGGCACTTTTTCTGTTTAAAGATCTCATGACATCACTCTAGTGACAGTTTTGACATTGCTGATAAAGTACATGTAATTAATTTACCATTCTGTTTCCCACACAATAATATGCAAATTTACGCCTAGTCAAATTACTCTCTATTTATCCAAGAAATAATTATGATTAGGGCAACTTTAAAGTAAAATTATTAATAGGAACTTCCTTTTTTTTCTTTTAAATAATGGCAATGATTACTTTTCTTTTGTAATGATAATCAATACGATAATTTATGATAATGTATTATAATCTATTATTAATTAAAGTAAATGATATAATAATAAATTCTAATAATTTATTTTATTAAAATTATTGTAAAGTGATAGAAAATTATTATAGAATATGAGAGATATTGAATGAATATTTYAAAGTATTCTGAAATAATACTATCTAAATTGTTAATAACCAATGTAATTAAGACCTCAATAAATTTGACATGTAGATATGAATGTTTCTCTAGGAAAAACATCCAAAATGTCACACATTTATAATTTAATCAAAATCCCTGATAAACAAACCCACAAATATGGTGTTAAGAATTTGGGTGAAAAATAGGGTTTCTGTAGTAGCCATATGTGCAAGTTATCAATGAAGAAAAACTTGTGGTTAAACATTTTTTTTCGAGACAGTAAATTACTAGGGTGCTTGTGTAAATATATCAATCAATTACTTAGAAGCAAAAAGAATAAGAAAGAGACATGAAAAAGAATGAAATAGCCCACTTTGTAGCTTAGGATTGATAATGATTTGAAAAAACTTTGGGTAATTYAGCATTGGCAGGTGCAACATTGGCTCGTCACTATGTCACTATAACATTCAAACAACATTCACTAATTCACTATTCAAATGGAATAAGTCGGCGAAAATTGTCTTCATTGTTTAAAATTATTCCCGATTCTTGTGAGGAACAACGGCGAAACTGCGAGAAGAAATTGTGCTTATAGTAGCACTATTTTAGGAGACGCAATGAAATACCTCCCTTATCATATAATATAACTTCTTCTTCGGCAGTTCTAATTTATCTTAATTTTTAGAATTTCATTAGGTGAACCAAACATCGATAACTGAATTTACCTCGTGCTTTTTTAACCGCGTATTATTACCCCGAGGCAATATTGATATCAACCCGTATCCTAAATATCCCTAAAATCAGATAGATGTATRAAAAAGAGATATTTTGAAAATAAAACACTTTACAAACAACGAATAATGGAAAAGAWGGATAACAGTCGCGAAAGGACGAAGAACAATGCGTACCTACATGTACTTCTCTTACGGCTTATAACATGACAGGGCTCTGTTTCGCTGTTTGAATGGAAATACAGAGTCCACAATAAAAGCGAAAAAAAAACGAGCAAAAGCTTCTCCTTATCTGTGTATGGCAGAATTTCGGTGCAGATTCTAAATACGTACTGCAATTTGCAAAACCTGAAGTGAAATTTTTCAGTCCTGCGACAAAATTCCCCTAAAAATTTGAATATATTCACGCTCCATCTCAAAGAAACAAAAAATTTCGTCGCTAGCTCTTATCTTGAGTTTTGTTTACACGTGGAGGAAATCTAAAAGGTTTGCGTATATTGCACTATAATGCCTTTTAAATCTATTCCTTCAAAGTACTTGGGTGTGCAAAGTGCAGCATATAAATTAAGATATATATCAGATATTAATACATGATGTGTTATATTACCTGGATGCAGAGAACGGAACCATCGTGTCCTTTAAAAACTTTTACCGGTGCTCCGGTCATCAGATCCCACGAACGAACAGTACAATCTGATGAGCCTGTAAACAACGTTTTACCCTTGTTATCACAGGCGACACACAAGACCGGGCCTTCGTGGCCTCGAAATGTAATAAGACTATCATTGGAGTTCAATTCCCATGCCTTGGCAGTGTTGTCTGAAGATCCTGAAATGAGTAGATCGTCGCTGTTTTCCATGTCGATGTTTTGTGTTCCTCGGCTGGTTTCTGATGGTACAAGAAGTATTGGGTGAACGGCGCGTTTGTGACCACGAAACACTTTGAGTCTTTCCCCCGTTTCGGAATTCCAGCACCGAACAGTTTTGTCGTAGGAGCTTGAAAATAGCAATTTGCCGCTTAGTATTGCTCGATGGACATTAGATGAATGCCCTTCAAATATTTTACAGCACTTTGCAGTCTCTATATTCCATTTGCGAATGGTTTTGTCTGATGAACACGTATATGCGAATTTCTCGCTAGCGCAAACGTACGTAATGTAACCTGTATGGCCTTCTAATGTACCAATACACTCTTCCGCCTTAGTGTCCCATAGACGAGCTGTTTTATCCTCAGATACTGTAACAACCATACTTCCACCTTGGCTTAAACACATCGCGTTGATACCACCATTGTGATCATCCATTGACTTAGTCAAGAACGTTTTGTCCTTTTTCTTCTTGGCTTTTGCTGGTTTCTTGGACTCTTTGGAACATCCTGAACCCATAGTTGCGTTGATTGGAACACAAACGGTGTGATTATAAAATGTTGTTTGATACTATAATACTAGTTTCCACGGTTTGGAGATTATTTTTGATGCCATCGAAATCGAGTGGTCTGCACTCGCGCGGAGATAACCGTTATCCTTTCGTCGTGCGCTCAATAACCAGGCAGCAATCTCGATGGTTTTGGTAACAGTCGTCACAAATAAGGAGTTTTGCTGGTGTATTCTCCTTCTTTTGGATCTACAGATTAACAAGAATCATCTATTAAATGGTAAGGTGACACAATGAGAAACCCTGTCACTATTTTTCTACCTCGATTCGTTTCCCCGAGTAACTAGAATTGTTAATGAGCCGTTGAATAATAATGTCAATTCGGCGTGCGACCGACAATAGCCAATCGCATGCATCGATTGGATATCTGGAACAACAGGGTGATTTTCACTACGTCGACCTTGTCAACGTTCACCGCTAATGACGTCATTGGCACATTAAAGGCCATATTAAAGAAAGCTGAAAAGAAAGAAAAAAGACCACGCCGTGGGAAGTTTTTTTTTTTTTTGCGACGATCTAAATCAACATTAGTAACCGGTGATTGATTGTTGTACGATGGACCTTCAAAACTAAAATCCTTCGTTATTTATCTAATTATCAAAAATGTAATAATAAAACTATATCAGTACATTGAAGACCGATGCTCGTGTGTGTGTAAATCCGCTAAATTACTAGTATAAAGCCTTTTGGCCGCAATATTATGGCGAGATCACTATTTTCACACGAATATCATATCTCGGCAGGCTCTCGTAAAATTGCTCTGAACTCGTTCAGTGAAGATTTTTCGTGACACGATCTGATTTGTGTCATTTATGAGTTTGTGGGGTTCTTCTTTGTTCGTTGTATTCGTACATCTTGATCGCAAATGAATGGCTACAACTAAAACTAAARGAATATTATACCACAAAAACCTTTGACCGCAAAAACACACAGCGAAAATTTCGCACTAATTTTGTTCAGCTGTGGATTCCGGTTTGACGAAAAATAATCATTAACTCTCGTCGTTTTGTATATCAAGAGTCAATTTTTATCTATTTCCGTTGCTCTCATCAAATTGCTATCTAAACTAGTGAAAAACACGTCGAAATATCAAGGCGCTTATCCACAGCATGGAGGTAATSTTCGCGACTTGCCGTTGCACTGGCACAGCGACTAATCTTKTGTTTCCTAGCTTTAGTGGTAATTTGTCAAATCGTTGATTATCTCAAAATTTTCTCCCATTCATTCGAAACTACTAGTTAAGTCTGAAAACTGTAACAAACAAACCTCGATCGACACTTTCATTCGCTGCTAGATAACAATATTGTAACAAAGTAATGGACTAATGATGATTGCATTGGCTCCGGTTGGATGCTATATCAATTCTTGATATCATTCTTTCCATATTTACATTTTCTCATATTTGTTGCTGTATCTAAATGTCGAGTCGTAATGGCATGCCGGCCGATGTAGGATTGAGAAAATTGCATAATCGCCCTTTTTTCCGTTGGCAAGTCAATCGAAGTCATAGCCGGCTTACGTCATAACGATTCAAGTTGATTTTGGTATAATTAGAGTCACCTGTTTTACCGTACTTTGTAGCTGACAACGACTTGTTTGGTTAACCTGGAGATGCATAAACAAAAACCTACCATTCGAGAACCTATCATGGGAGCATTCGTGGGATATTGTTGTATAAGGGCATTTTTTTTTGCGCGCAAAAGAGAGCTAATCCTTGTGACAAACGGGATGTAGATCGCACACCTGTCATGTTCATCAAGTRTTTTCAGTATTGTAGCTAATCTACTTTCTTTGAGAACATGGATTCAGATAGATGAAGTTGTGATAAATTGTTCGCGACTGAACTAGCTTCCATTCTAAATGGAATTATTATAAAAAGTGTTCGGGTGTTAWMGTGGAATGCACTAAATGAAAACCTAGCGAATTTCAGAAATGGAATTGTGATGACGATTGACATCATTATCATACGATGTTATTTGCTAATTTTGAATTATTTTTGGTATCATTATTGTTACTACTACTATTATTATTATGACTATTTCTGTCAATATTATTATTATTTTACTTTTACTTTAGTTTTATTTTCTAGTATTGTCATAATTATAATTATTTCTATTATTATTATTATTATTATTATAGTTTATCAAACTATTTTAACATTATTAGTATAATTATTATTATTATTATTATTGTTACGTTATTAGTATTATAATTTTTTTTAAGTTTAATAATTAAAAATTATTATTTTAAAAATATAAAAATTATTATTATTATTATTATTACTAATATTATTATTATTATTATTATTATTATTATTATTATTATTATTATTATTATTACATTATCGTCAACCCTTCATGAATATAATTTATCAATGTTATTATTATTATTATTATTATTATTGTTGTTGTTGTTGTTGTTGTTGTTGATATTATTCCTCGAGTTTAGAATAATCTGAAGCCGATTTCCCACATAAGTTAAATGAAAGGAATTGAATTACACTATCAAGCCACTGACAAACTAAACATCTTGGTTCAGTGTGATTAGGAAAGGCTTTTGTGGTCATAACATTCAAGAATGAATAGCGTTATCGGTGGTATTGTTTGAGCCAGTTTGGAACCCCACAAGCTGTTTTGAATTACACATCCTTTAAGTAACACATTCACTTAGAACGTTTAAAACTTGGAAGACAAACTATGTTTTTGTGCCCTTTCGAACTACAGTAGTTTTTTAATCGTTAATAGCGAACTATAAGTGAATTTCCGTCGCTCATATCTTAAGTAACGAGTACTGTAACTTTTCATGCACAAACCGAATGGAATCCTACATTTTTAATCTCGCAAACGTTTAGCTATTYTACCACGAGCTTAGATTTGTCAAAATGATGTTAATTTAAAGGATTTCTACCAATATTTGCTAAGTAGGAGAAGAAGTTGAACAAAAAATTGTCAGAGCTAGAAATCTTACCGGTTCACCTGTTCCAAGCGTGTTTTTACTGATGCATGCAAATTCTAGGCGGTTATTTTTAGATGTGCAATCACCCAATAGGCATGGAGGACCTATCGGTGGGGCTTCTATGTTTCCTCTTGTTTCATTTCAAAACTTAGTGGCTGTTTGATCCAATTCATGGTCAAAACAAGCTATAAATACATCGTGGTTAGGGCAACTCTTTTGTAGAAAGTTCCTTGATTCAGTTTAGTTTCCGCGTTGTGGGAATTTTCCCTGGTTTTTGTGTCGGAAATCCTCCGTTTGTTTAGTGGTTTCAATTTTCACGATTTTATATATATTTTTTTGGTAATCACCTTTGATATTATAAGACAGACATTGTTTAGCTTTCTGTTGTTGTTTTTTTTTGAATGTATATTGTTTATGCTTGATACAGACCTGTCTCCTACTCCGTCATGTAATAATTGATGGGGATCGGGTTGATTACTTCCACTCAATAAACTGACTTTGTTAAAAATATTGAAAGTAGACACGAATAGACATTATTCTCATTTGTGTTAGCGTCTGTCAAAATAGAAATTTTCTTTCATTTAAGATGGACACTTCAGTCTGGCTCTAACAATGCTTAAGTACTGTAATTACGAAAAACAACTCAAAATYATYATTCTACTCATAGGAGAAATTCTAAAAACATCAACCATCTGACAGCATCCGAGATCTCTCGCGGCTCTGTCTTTGAAAATATGAATGTCTAATCCACTAAAGTTGAAAATATGAAATGTAAGCTTCCACTTGCGTGTTGCAGTACTTAAACGTAATTTTTACGAAGCGAAAGAAGGCACAAGAGTGGTGTGAACAGTTCAGGGCGACACCCGCGACCAACGGATCGGATATTTTGAGTTCCTTAAATGTGCGCAACTCGGCTAGAATGGTGTGTGAAGTACATAAGTTTGTTTTGTCTAATAAAAAGGAAAATTCGTTTGGGTTCATTATAATTCTTTTTCACTGCCCGCTTTCTCCGTCGTCTATCTCAACTAAAGGATTTTTTTTTTCCGGGCTTAGCCCCCTATTATCTTGAATCAAATATACGGCATGTAATTTGCCTTGGCCGGCACTCACAACACGGCTTAAAATGTTTGCGGAATGTGTTTATCGTTGGGGAGCCGATAGAAGATAATGTATTCACAGGTAAAACAAAATGGTTTCTCTTCAATGAAGTGAAGGGATTATTAAACGATATTATTTTCATTCGACAGGAAGTGTTAAGTTTGACCACAGCAGCCGCTTTTATATTACAGCCTGTCATTTTTGATCAGTATCCTTTTTTTTAAAAAGTGATAAGCGAAAAACTGAAGAAGAGAAAAAGAAATAAAGATYAAAACGCGATAGATTTGTATGAAGTTTGAATTGCCATGCTGAGGACTACTCTTATCCGAACACTTTGTGGAGTGTGATTCTTTTTGACCGACCGAATGTACCGCCCATGTTAGCATCAGCCTTCATTACGGTGACTTTTGTGGTCGTTTGGTTGGTTCTCAATTTGATTGTGATGGTAAGCTACGACTGTTTGGTGTTTACCTGGGTTTCAATAGATACCTTTTTGAAGTATAATTAATTCTTCACAGAAACGGGACATCGTTGAAACACTTTTAATTCCAAAGTGTGTACTTCTTGAACCTCAGTCTCGAAAACTAAGCTCGAGATCTATACATCGCAAATATTCATCTTGTGAATTAATCTTGGAAAGTTTAAAGTATCTACTAAGTGGTGTTAGAATTACAGGTTTTTTAGTGTTTTAATTGTTAGCATTTCTGTTGTTATTAGGCAACGATTAAATATTAATAACATGCAACATTATCGACAAAATATAGATCTTTGTCTTTTCAAACTAAAAAAACAAATGCATGTTGTCTTTGCAATCATTTTACCAGCTATATTTTTGTAGCTTCACATTATGGAAATTAGAAATCAGAAGGAAATCATATTGAATACGATTTTATCACCTTTACTTGCAGTTAGAACGTCCCACTTCGGTTCAATTTGGCTTTCTGTTATCACTGCATTCGAACTGAAAACCCACAGATCTTATCAAATCGTCAAATCGACCCTAAGATGAAACATTAAAGATTGCATTATTCCTCAAACAGGGTTTCCAAGAAAGAGATTTGCAAACGTACGTACTTGTTAAACGATACTGTGTTAATTCTTCAATGACTTTCTCATTTCACTTTGTAATTCATAGTTTTTGTGCTGTTCTGCAAAGCYATTGTTTACTGGGAGATATGAATATTAATGCGTTGAGAATTTTTTCCGTTATATTTACGTTGTCATGACATCGAATACTATTGTACCGATTTGGCGACCATAGGCGCTTTTGTAGAAAATGTGCCGAGGGGTAATATGAGCCCGCTTTTACGAAGTTAAGTTTATATTGTGACCTTGGGCCGCACTGTGGAGTAAACGAATAATGTTTTAAATGTTATGGTAACATTGATTAAACCAGATGTAATTATCTAGAATTAACGTTGACTCTTCCAATATACTAACTAACTAGCGTCACTTTTAATTTATTTTAGTTCTGATATAGATTGCTGCCATTTTTGAGCTGAGATGATAAAACGTTTCAAACGTCAATACTTTCTCTAAAAATCGGCGATTTGCCCTAACTAGTCACGTGTCACCATCGCCAACAGTAAAACAAACAAGGGGCTTAAAATTCATATAATAATGAAGATTTAACCCACGATAAAATGATATATATTCATAATTCCCAAAAATCTTTTTTTTTTTTAAATTAAGGGCCGACACGTTTTTCCATTTGACCTTGGTTGTTTGAAAATGACAAGCTAAAACGTCGGACTTTTCCTCATTCATAACAATGGATGTGTTTTGGCATGKTTTTTTTTAAATAAGGAGCGCGACACGTGAATCGCTTGTTTTTACTTAATTTTACTCCTTTGTAGCTTTCCATCATGAATGAACGGAAGCATTGCGTCGAATGGCGCCCCGTTTTCCTTTGAAACGCCGCAATAACTTCTAATGATATAATCCAAATCCATCGATCATTGAATATTCCATGAACATGGCACATTTAGTTGCAAAACGTGAGTTTTCCCGGCTGTGGTTATATTTAGAGAAATAGATGGGCAATGTGTCAAGGTCTGTATGCATTTCATATTTTCTAGAAATCAARTTTTCGTTTCTCTTTGAAATGATATTTTTCTAATTCGATATAACAATTGCGAGGTAAATTCACAATGCACGTACTTCACTCAAATCGAAAACAGAAACCTCTAGTGTGTACCAGAATACTACCAAATCTAATCAGCAATGTTTCGAGGTACAATGGGTTGTGATTAAATTAAATGTATCGTACTTATAAGATAAGATTAGAAACATAGTTACTGTGGGACACTATTTATTTATTCATTAGTGCTAATTAAGCAAAAACAAGCGGTTCGCGAAATACTTGTGGATTGTTAATTAGCTGAGCAAGCTTACAAAATCATACAGCATTTGAAACTGAACTTCATGTGGCTTAACGACGTGTAACGAACATGGAGGGTTAGGCTATGGGAGGGTTGCTTTGTGCATGGCCACACTACTAAACAAGTTAAAATTATTATTGCCGAATTTGAAGTTTATTTGTTTGTCGAGTTATTCTTTGTATGCTCGAATGGTTTTATATAGATGTATATGGTTTAGATAATGGGGGGAGGGGGGGTACACAAAATATGATTAGCTGATTCCATCGCTTCCGTTTGGATTCATTTGACTACTTACAACTTGATTATGTCATTTCGTTTCACGGATTTAGTGTSTKCCTTCTATTCGCATGCARATGTTGTAATTTCAAATTTAATTAAATTAACCTGAACCGTAGTATATAGTCATTGTGACTGAGGGATGGTTTATCATGACTGAAGTACTCATTTCTCTTTTCCATGTCACTTGTCGTTTGTGTTCTCGGAAGTAGCTTGAGAAATAAAGGTGTTTAAGGACATTTTGACGTCATGACGAGACCAGCGCTTAGAAAACAGACCAAAAAAAGAACATARATATTGGTATTCAGGAAAGCTTAATAYTTGTGRACCKTGTTTCGCAATCGACAATCAGAATATGGCTGTAGCTTTCATATCTGGGCCAATCTTGAACAGTTCGGAGAACCTGGGGRGTTTCTTTGTACCGCTGTTTCCCAAGTTATTTCGAATTGAAGCGATTTTCTTAGTCTTTGATAGCGCACGGAACTTACTGTCAAACATGATGACATTCCCTTGTGGTTGGACTTGGGTTTGTTCAAGCTGCCTTTCTTGACACAGACCTCATCACATTGACTACGTTTCTGACTGTGCTCAGCCGTCGTAGAATTATTAAAGCGAGTAATTACCGTAAACAAATCCTAAGAATAAAACATACCTGTACTTACTTGACTTGATGTTTTCTTGAATTCACGATTTCTAACTGACTGCCACTTTATTTGTGACGCAGATATTCAATTGACTCCACCCCTCACGTCACGTGATCATTATTACAATGACATTTACTGGCTATAATAATCTATGGTTGGTATTATCCTGCAGAGAATCTAATCAAAATTTGTCGCGCACAAGACGGCTGGTCTGCTTGCTTTGCATTACTAGACTATGTTAATATGATTGAATGACAGATAAACCACTTTATGCGCAAAGGACATTGTCCTACATTTTGCTTTTCCTATGCATACATTAGAGAAACAAAAGGCTCAAGGTCAACGTGGTTTAATTTTTGTGTGTGTCGGGTTTGAAATGTTTTGACTTGCTTTTAGCTCAACAAAATAAAGAATAGCTCTCGCATGGTTTCAAAAATGGTATCAAATGTSAACACATCGATGATAAAGCAATATTGCTATAACCCGATTCGAGGGTAAAAAAAGGTAGAAAAACACTTCCAATGATTTGAGACAAAACAGTATTCTTTATATAAAAACATTGTATTTTCTTTTTAAGAAAAATGATATGAAAATATACAAATGTTGTGCAATGATAATCAGACGAGCAACATTTTGAAAGTTAAAGTAAATCGATCAAAACTGTCTTTGACCGCCATGTTTTCTGTGCTCAGCTTAGTGTCACTAAAACGTCGAATGTCTATTAATTTATCGTTACTTAGATGATTTTAATTTCAATGTTTAGATGAGCGTCTTTTTTTCTCAAGCGTTGAGATATTCATTGGATCTTGGCTTAAGTCTATTACTGGTTCATATAATCGTGGCATACACTTTTAAGAGTCAATCTCCAACCGTTATTATTTTCCGTACTGCACTAGTAAAATGGTGATCTCTAGCAGCGAGCGGTAGATCAAAAGACTGAAACCTTTTATATAAAAGGACAATGTTAACCTATTATMGAGGCGTTTTTCACAGCTTGCAAGCGGCCAAAATGGTTGAGTAACTTTGGTATCTCACGATACACTTTCTGATCGTGCAAAAAGGGTTCTTCATTTGGTTATATGGATTAAACCAGGGCTATTTATCTATTATTTATTGTGCCTGATTTTAGAGACACTTTTTATATGTATTTTCCCGACCAAGACCAATATGTCGGTCTGTCTACCTTCAAAGTGAAGAAAATTACAATTGCGTTCTATCATATGTCCTGTGTTTCCCGAATGAAACGTTCATTATAAAACGTCTATGATATTTTGTATTTACGTCGGTCTGGATGTTAATAATAGCGGTCTGTTGTCTGTCTAACCTAAATTCAAAAAATATGTRCTTCCATCGAGAAAATCTTCCAGTATTTGAAGTGATTATTACAGCATTACATATATTAAAATTTTCTTTTCTTTTTACATCGGCAATTGATTATAGTGAATCTTGCTATGGACAGACAATAGCGATATAAGACTCTTACCTTTGTTCTGCTGGTTTCTTTAATTTCTTCAATTTTCTGTGTACTACCAACATTGATATTGATATCAAAAGAGGTTYAAATCCTTTATAAGTCGACTGAATAATTAGACATTATCCTACCTAATAGATTTGAGGGTCTATTTTAAGTCATTGTATCTAAGCCACAATTAATGGTAGAGCGTGGTAGCAATATAGATATCTCATCTATGATGACTATAATCGCGGGGTTTTTTTGCAGACCTCAAATACCACGCGATTAGATCAGATCCCGTTTTCATGACTAGACCCCAGGGAGGCTACTACTAAAAGTAGAAAAATCATCAAACGATTCTCAACGTAAACCGCGCTTTAGTATATGCYATGACTCATCCCTTTTGGTTACTACATCCCCTATCATGTTATTCTTTAATTAGCGTAATATAAATTGGCCTTTTGAAAAGGAGGTTAACCTGCGTTTATTTATAACGTTAAATGATTGCGCAAGCTTTGTACGCGTGAGGTACATTACTTGGAGCATTTAGGGAGTGACTGAAATGACTCAGACACCACTTCGCAGCAATTCTGACCTTGTCACGATTATATGCAGAAAGACTAGGTATAATAAGATAGTATAGATCACCCCAGTCCCTACCGTCTTTGCAAACAACATGTGATCAAAAGTGTGCTTTAAAGCCACCGTCCAGGATTCCGTGCGCACCGTCGGGTTGTCTTTGCAAAACGTTGCTGCCAAAGCTGACGTAAAGTTTTTCTTCCGACATTGYTAGAAAAGAAAATGTTATTTGATTTTTTAGCATTCAATTAGCCGTTTTTTAAACCTTTTTCTACATTTTTTATTYATTATATACCTATATTCTTGAGCGTCCCGTATCTCTTAATCGGGTATTAAATTAGAAATGCACTTCATGGYCTCTAGATTGGTTCCTCTCCATACGCCCACTGCACTCGTCTCGATAGTGGTTGTTGTCTTCCGTCCATTACGTCATCTATGGCCATTCAGCTACTAGTTTTATAGGATTGTATCATTTTAGTGTAGAATTTGAGCTTTCAGTCTCTGAAATACCTCCCAAAGGCAACTTTTCTCAAAASTGAATCGAATTCAACAGGCCAAGCTGGAACGAACGTGCTTGAGTAGACTGTTTTAAAATAACAAAGCCTAGGGGCCCRTTGGTAGTAGCGGCATGAAGCTCGTGAACCGCTCTCCATCTGACTAAGCCATRTCAATACAGACTATTAGCTATTTATTTTTGAGGTAATAAAAAGTTCTATTTAGGCTAATTAGCTTCCGGATGGAAATCTCTGTTCTAGAACCTCGAAAAAACAGTAATTCAGGGTAGTTTTAAGAGCAAAAACAGACATGCATTAATCCTGAAGAGCAGTTTGTTCTAGGAAAGCACTTAATTATAAATGCTCTAAGTATGGCCAAAAACTAGTCTGGCAAGAGAAAGGAAGGGCTAAGTTCCAATTAAGAGGCTCCCTTTTTTTTATCTTTGTAATAACGCTCATCTAAACGAGTCTTGGAAATTCAATTRGGCGGATATTGTAGGTGTTTTGTTTCCAATTTCCTCTCTAGCTAGACATTCAAGGAGAATTGTTTTGTCTCTACTTGTTGATCCACCTCGCTTATGTACTATATTTCAACCGACACGTGGCTTTCAAATTATACAGGAGGGGAAGGGCGGTCTAATGAAGCGACTGGACTGCGTCGTAACTCTTAAGTTAAAAAATGCGGTGCATAACATGAAGCCCCTGATACATTTTATTCATCCTTCCTTGTAATTTTTGAGGAATTTCATCTTTCATAAACATTCTTCATTTCAAAGTTGATTTGAAAAAATATATATGTATCATACACTTTATATAAATGGTACATAAGAATTTTCTAAATTTAACAGTTTAAAAATACAAACTATATATGAACAAAGATCGGATCAAATATTTTATGTGCGCAATATTATGGAAGACGCACAATGTCCAGTCTACCAGGCTTTCTTTTTCATCAGCATTAACATGACAAATGCATCACGTGAACCCAGTTTTCCCTAAGGGTGGTTTCCAGTAAGAACTTCCTGGCCAGACCCGTCTATTTAGAAATAAATCATATTATACCTTTTTTCGGGAATTTCCACTAACTTTCCAAGTTTTCCGTTATACTAATAGATAAATTTAGAATTAAATTCTAATGMCGGAACAAGAATGATTAATTTAGTCTTTGCCAGTCCTGACAAATGGAAAGGGCTCCRAAATCAATTATCTACATCTTGAAAACAGTAAAACTGCGATGTTTTGTGTCGTGATTATGAATTGATAGCTCCTAGTAGGCACATAGATGCGACATGAAAATCAAGTCTTTTTTTARGTATCTTATAGGAAAGTGAAACAATGGCGGTTGCTCCCTCATCAACTGCCATRGGTTTTTTCAAACCATTCGTACTATAGTATGACTCACTTTTAATTTGTTGGGATGGAGGTTGTGTCACTTGACATAGTGCGATTTCGCGTAAGCTTGAAGAGTTTTCGTTGAGCTTACAGAGTGCTGCATAAATTCTCTTGTGTCTGTAGCGTGTCGAGTTCTTGTAGGAATCCGTGTGGTCCTCATTTGTTTGACTCAAGTTTGAAGTAATCTTTAATTCTATAGTATTCAATTGTCAAACATTGAGTTTMTTCATTGCCTGCAAATCATTATTTATTTAAAGGTGATTAATTTTCGCTGAGGGTTATATCTGCCATCTTATTTGATTTCTGTCTTAAATCAGTATATAACATCCCCTATGCTCTGTCTTAGAACCTCTCCTGGAAGATCTCGGTCATTTATTCGCCAATCATTTTTCGTGAAATTTGCTCTATTGATCGTTTCCAATCATTCCCATGAGATTCAACGGCGGCCATGTTGGATGAATGAACAATAGATACTAATGAGAAATCCTTTGTTGGAATTTCTCTTAGATGGCCGCTGTGACGTATAGTGAAAACGAACTAATATAAAAACCATTATTAACGCAAGCTTACCCGAAATGACGGACACCTCTATAGCAAAACCATCTCTAGATCACGGACACCTCTATATCACAGACCCATCTAGAGCGGATTTCGTATGACCGTGCAAAAAACTGACGGTACTTTCGCGCTATGACCGTACCGTGCCGTAGCGGTGATGTATTGTTAAATCTTTATTTTTATTTGGAATCCTAGAAGGCGAGGTTCCGTGACCGTGCCGTGCCGTGTGCATGTTGTGATCTGTGCCGTTGCACAGTCATACAAAATCCGCTCTATGAAAAGAAAACCTCTATATTACGGACACCTCTATATCATGGACACCTCTATATCACGGACACCTCTATATTACGGACACCTCTATATCACGGACACCTCTATATCACGGAGACCTCTATATTACGGACACCTCTATACTAGACTAAGGACATCTCTACATCACGGACACCTCTATATCACGGACACCTCCATATCACGGACACCTCTATATCACGGAGACCTCTATATCACGGACACTTCTATACTAGACTAAGGAGATCTCTACATCACGGACACCTCTATATCACGGACACCTCCATATCACGGACGCCTGTATATTACGGACACCTCTATAATAAGGACACCTTTATAATAAGGACAACTTTATTAAGGACAGCTCTAAATGACGGAAACCCATACCATCTTTACACGTTTTTATATTACGGACACCTCTAAACGTTTAAAAGTTGTTTTTAGATGACACACGAACAAATAAAAACTAAAACAACTCCTACGCAAAAAGTGAGATATGAAATTCTGTTGATTCTTTAAAAAGGATTTCTTGGAAGGCAGGAATATTCCGGACTTCATTTCCYGCACTATGCGTTTATCCTCGATGTATCCTGAGGCACTTGCATATTCGAAAATCTGAAGGTGGATTAATAAACCCAGTGAACAACCGTTGTGTGTTTTCTATCAAATGTAGACAGTGTTTATCCGTTTARAGTACAGCCACTCGTTGTAATTTATCATTCACTTAGTCCAAGTGTATTTCTTTATTTTGAGACGAAAATGATTGATGTCTTTTCTGTTTCCTGAAAAACTTTCACTAACAACATCGCTCGTCTAAACACCTGACCTCAGTCAATAATAAATTTGCGCTAAAACGTACTAATGTAAGTATAAATATTTGAGATATTTTTGAACGAGAATTGCATGCTGCTTCTTTTTGTGCAGCTGTGTCAGATCGAACATCGAAACATAGCCATACTTGTTAGTGATGTCTTACTATATAAGGCCTCCGTCAACAYGAGTCCAGAGATTTTCCCTGATCCGCAAATGTATTTATTCGGATACARCTAGCGTTCACTCGTGTCCACCGTGCATGCTTGTTGTCTCCGCATTGTCTCCGGAGATTACTGTAAGGAAACGAAAAACTCTGGACTCGTTTGGACGAGGCATCAGTTTGAAGTGGCTTTAAAATAAGCTTTACGCTTTTCAATTGATAGCAATTTTCAATTTTATCAATTAGTTATACGCCGAGTCGGGTTTTTTCTATAGCCATAGTTAATAGTTCTCTCTATTAACTATGCTATAACCTTTAAATAACCCTCCTTTGAGAAACGAAAGCTAATTTTGCTGTGTTATTTTAGGTAAGATCAAGATGGCCGGTCTTTAGAATGGTCAGCAGCAAAATGAGTAAGGCGGAAGGTTTGCAAAGGTAACAGATATTTGTTCCAATCTTTCGCACGTTTTTGCTGTAATATTGAGCGTTTTTGTAAAACTGAGGGTAGACTTGGTATTGGCTGTTCTTTAAATTTYAGTACAGACGGGAATCGGCTCATCGTTCCTAGGATAGAATATATTAGAATAACCCGATTAATTTTCACATAGATTCGCGGCTTAGCCCGCTTGTTCTAGAATTTCGAGAATATAGTCATGAAAAGTAGTTTGAATAATCCATTTTCGGTTGTGAAGAAAGATAAATTTTAACACCGTTAAAGAGTACTAGGTAAAGTTACTTAAAGACGTTTCGGGCGTTAATCCTTCATCGAAAATCGGAATACGAACGTGTTTTGTGCAGCCTCATATGAGTGCCAAGTCATGTCAAAGTCATGATTTTGTTTACCAAAACAATCATTTTAGTAACATTGCAAAGTGAATGAAGCAAAGCTGGTACTTTTTATTAGTACAGTAATCAGACAGGGATTCATGTTATCATTCGGTATATTACGCAAATACGCACGTGGGCGCCTGAAAAAACGACGCCAAATTAATGAAATATAATGTTGTTTTCACTTAACGTCTTCGAATCTGTTTTRGCTAATTTTATCATAAATTCACTGATCTAAACTAGGAGACAGTGCTACCGGTGCTTAGCTTATAGTTTTCGAGAAATGGGGCTTACTTAAAAAAAGAACGAAAAAGAAAAGAAAACAAAAAAAACAGCCTAACTAATGACCCAAAACAACCGCAACAACAATAATAGCAGCGACTCATAGCTACGCCCTGACAGATTTCYATATGGTTATTATTTTTTATTTAGTTTATTGTTAAGTGCGGCAATCATTTTCCATTAGAATTTCATCTGAAAACCTTTTTTGATAAAAGTTGTCTATTGTATTAGTTATGATTTTCTTGCGTACTTAGTTTAATTGAACTTGTGAATTAATAATTTATCAAAATCGGTATCATAATTGATAGAAAGTGATCGTACAATCCTCAAGTTTTGTTGTATTCTTTGTTCTTTTTATAAYTGTTAAAAACTGTCTGACTTTTATTGATACTCTCTCGTCTTATCACTGAAAATTGTTGTGAARTAGAAATGCAAGAGAAACAGATACAAATTTCATTGCCATGAGCTAGAGATATCCAAATATCTTACGGCTTATGTTTGCAATAAACTCCAAATCAATGCTTTAGATAATATTAGGCTCATGGGCATTTCGTTTTAAAAGTGTGTTTTTTTTCCTGTCGATTTGTCTGTGAAATAATAGCCGAGCTCGAAGTTGAGTAGTCTTGCTCTTTATGAATTACCAAACATTTTCTTTTCGCATACASAAGACAGAGATTCGCGCTAGGAATGCAGGCTTCCAGCTATGGATTGATAAAAAATAAATGACTTCAAAAAAGTGGCCGGCTTGAAACCCCCAAGAGTCGTACGGTAGATATGAATGGTCAACTTACTTATTCGTTCCTGCCTTTGTTCAAAGCCGTAGAAAACCCCTTAAATCGTCCTCCGTCCAGCGACATTTAAAGTAGATACTTAATTCTGAATTATTTAAATGGATAAAATTGCCAAATGGCGATGCGCAGAGTAAAACCTCCATTAACTGGACGGTCGATATATGAGCATACGACCCTGCCATAAAAGTCTATTTCMAAAGATCTATGTGGATACGACGGTGACTAGCCTTTTAAACGTAATGGCGGTCTCTAGATTATTATCTTGTGGTAACAATTACTGTGTATCAAGTAAAACACCTCCTATATGTAGTTATCTCAATAATGAATCTGTTATCTTTATTACGATTTTTTGTCGCCGTGCAGTTCAGTATTTAACCGAAAAGCGCTATATATTCGCTTCTTAAAGAAATTCCAGTTTGTGTTTATTTTATATTTATATTTATTTTATATTATTTTTCGGCATTTTTATGATTGTTTCCATTATTTCAAGAAAAATTATAATCCTTTAATTATATAATCTGTCGTCTGGTGTAGCTACCTGTAAATAGAGAGTTGCCATGGGAATTTACCTCTCTTCAAAGTATTTTATCATTTTAGAATAAGATAATGAATTAAAAAAATGTTTTCATTGGTCATTGTTGTTTCTCGTTATGTGTTAATATGAATGATTTTTAAATAGAAACCTGGTTGGTCGTTTGGTTGCCGTTAACACCTCCTGTACAACATTTCAACCATATTTTCACAAAGGTCACTGAAAAAATGACTTGTTTTAGCAATTCGCCATGGATTTGAAGGAGTCGCTGCTCTGTTAGGTAAGCAGAAAAGCCGCTTTGACAATTRTTGTATTATTTACAAAAAGAAAAGACAATTATTATTCATTGATTGTTTTGGCCATCCTTTCATATGGCTGGTATCCCGAATCTCAATTGCCGAAGTCAACAAAATCAGACTCCAAAGCTGTTGTTGTTCTTGCCTGAAATCATCAAAATTTTGCTAGGAGTCAGTAAATAACAAGTCTTAATGTTAACGACTGACGAGGACTACCTTTTGCCTTTGGCCTTTGACAACCTCAAGTCGACTGTGGGAAAATAAACCTACAATTTTAGCAGCCCTTAGACAGGTGTTTTGGTCTGTATTGGGTCTCGTTAGCACAATGTAACGAGGGAATTGGCAGGATCAGTAGTGTCTAGYATAAATCTCATCTGGCTTTTAAATTGGCACATGAGAAGATATCGGTGTTATTAAAGAAAATTATGCTGCACTTTGTTTTCTYATAGTCTCAGGCATTCATCAGTATTTCGCTACTTTTAGAAATAATATTTGTTCATTGTTGATTTGTACGAAATGCAAATTAATATATTGTAAACTTTACTAGCTTCCCTCTATTTTCACGAATATTTCTTGCTTAGAAATATGGAACTTTTTTGGCATATTTTATTGATCTTGTGATAATTTTCACAGTTTTTAGTTTTTTCATTTGTTTTATTTGTAWCTGAGTTTGCCTTATAGCTGCTCAAAAAGCAGAATTCTAATGAAGATTACATGGCAAAAAAAAAACTGTTTAAAATATACAACCATCGATGCACCTGCTTTGTTGTTTAACGCTTTTATCAATAAATATTCTAACAACATAAATTTTTTGCTTTGTTTTGTGATGATTGTATGTTTTCCTGAGTTTTCCCGCATCTGAAGACTATTGATTTTGCGATATCAGATTGTCATAACAGTTTATTCTGCTATAGTAAGGAGTAGCTAGCCTGAAGCGATTTTCCGTTGTTCTAAGGTTTATTTWAAAAAAAATCGCTTGACAGGAWATAAATACAAGCCAAGTGTGATGAATGAAACATTTAGTCTAAAGAAAAGACACATCAGTTCCTCGAGTACCTCTGGTCGGTATCCGTGTGCCGTATAATGATTACAGCTCTYTCTTTAATATTCATTATCTTCTATTCCTTTTAACTTCCAGTTGAAAGCAAACTTTGGAACATGGTAAGTTAATTTTATTTGCATTTGGCAGTCTTTTTACCTGCTTGTCATCTAAAAACGCTCATAATACTTAGTTTATGAAATTAGTGTAGGTAGAAAGTGAAATTGCTTTGAAATGGATGTGTTTGCATTATTGCATAAGCCGCTAGAAATTTTCAATGACTTTTCAKAACATCTGCCTGTAAAAAGAGGATTAAAAAGCGATTTCCGAGTTAACATTTTAATATAGAACTTGGCTAAAAAACACGGCAGACGGTAAGAAAGAAAAGGGCAATCGACCGGTTTCAAGTGCCTGTTAATGTTTGTAGTGTAACTTTATAAAGATACTTCTTCCTGATCCTTATRAAGAGCAAATTACAAAGAAGGCACTGGAARTATATTTACAACAATCTAATGCACCCAATGCTCTGAAGTAGATCCGATAATATTGGTTCACTTCACGGTMTTATCAAAGGTTTCGGATTTTGGTACTCGAACCAATCATGATCCGCTGTTTTTGACGTACTGTCGTATTTAACAAGAAGTATTGGGACTTTATTGTAAACATCAAAAACCGCACATCAAACTGGTTTTTCCTCGTTCTATGCATGCAATATGACTGATAAAAGAACGGGTACGTTTCAAGATAAAAAGGTTTGTATCGAGTTATTATTTACTATAATAATAATACATGATAATGATTAATAATTCTTCTAATATTGATGATAGAGTAGAGTTCAAGCACTAAAAGCATGAAAAAGCACTAATCAAATAGTGCAAAATAACGCAATATAGTGTATATTAGACCATAGAGAATAAAAGAATTCACATAATTCACTACAAATAGAGTGCAAAATAACGCAATATAGTGTATATTAGACCATAGAGAATAAAAGAATTCACATAATTCACTACAATTTASCACATTAATCACTAAAAGGTTTTGATTAAAATAATTATCAATTCGCTGATTTTAAAATGATGATGCTGAGAAAAAATGCATTAACAATAGTGAAAGACATGATACCGAATAATGGAAGTTAGAAAAATAATRYTTTATCGATATGAATAAAAAGGGGGGRCCGATGTATGAGGCTGAGTCCAGTGATGCGGTCTACAGATGGAGATGCAGGCCTTAGGCCTTGAGGCTGACAAACCATATATTTGTATATTTGACTAAATTGTAATCAAGGACTCAACTAAACAGGTGCAAATAGTCAACCAGACAATAAACTTGGCAAACATCCCTCGTTCCCAGTCTCCTAACATCAAAACGTCTAAGTTAAATACCGGGCTTGTGTTGATATTCATATGTGGATCGTGAAACTCACTTCCATCCAATATGGCACGCTTATGGAAGTCTTTGAAAGACATGTACATCTCTCCGCAGGCGCAGAACCAAAATCGCCACAAGACGCCAAGAATGGCAACGATTGCTATGGAGGTGCTTGCGGAGAGTAGAGAAGAAGCCAAAGATCTAGTGTACTATGATGCCCTTAAACGGGTCACTGAATCCACTAAGGTTTGTCGTTTAGTTATCACGATGCTGTAATTTCACTTTATTCTTTATCACTGAGTTTATATTCTCGCATATTCTTATTAAATATGAGCAATTTTTTTAGTCGAAAGCCAAAGGTTATTAATTTGCGCACTAACAGTCGTCATTTTTAATTTCGACGTTTATTTTCACATGTCTTAGATTCCTTTTGACAAGTCGCATAGTAAATGTTTGTTAAGGGATAATTTTCGGATAAATTGAGGTCCTAAATTGATGTRCTTAGTGAAACGCGATCAAGTTTCTGTGAGATTCGTTCAATTAGCATCGCATCCTAATGCCATAATCCTTTCAAGATTTTTGATAAATATTGGCAGCTAAAAAACTCCATTTTGTATAAATGTCATGCACGCTGTGGGTCTTCTGTTGTTCTCGTAATTTACACTTTTAAGTAAAAAATTCTGTCTAATTTCAGTTTTAAACGAAGTTTTACCAGCATCTGTCTTGCCCAGTGCWAGTAAATAGCGAAAAGAAGATCTTGTTTTTGCAGTGCTGTTAATTTGTTATTTTAGAGGCGTCGTATTGGTTCCTTAATACTATCAAATGTTTCCGATAATGTTTTCTTGACCATTGTTGACAAGAAATTAAAGAACCGATCGAATACACTGGTTTTAAGGACTGGTTTTGTTTCATAATTGTCTGTTCCTAGCTCCAATATAATGTATTGCATTCGGCAAACATGCTGATACCTTGGCCAATCAGGTTGCGGTTTGGCAAGTATTTTCTATTAAGCACAGCGATTCTGTTTGTTTTGATGATCGTTTTTGAATGGAGTTACGTCAAATCCATTGATGTTCTAGTAGACATATTGACATATTCCGATCAATTTGTTGTGGACAAAGAAATATTGGTAGTCGCGGAAGAAGTTTGGTTGTTTTAGTTACTAGTAAAATGACAATGATGGGTAAAATCGACTTACCTTTTTTAGATGTCAGCTTTAGTAAATGGTCAGGTTACAGATAATACTTCTCAGATTTCGTGTTTTTTATTCTATTAAACTTCAGTAGCTTAATTAACTAATTAAGTTGTAAGCGTTAGCATAAAAGCAGAAATAAGCGCGAAACAAAAGAAAGACAAAGACATGAGTCCAAGTKCATTACAGAAGGCATATTCTTACGCTTATGACTGCGTGACACAGCAATCAGTGCGAATATAATTTAAAATCTAATTCTTGTTATTCCTTTTTTTCTAATAGGAGGAACAATTAAGGTAAGCACTATTTATAAGTTGCTTCGAAGGTATGTAATCCTTTTGATGTTCCAGGCCATTYCCTCTGTAATTGATAATTATTCGCTTCGTTGATGGCAGAATATGTAATGTCAATAAGAAAATATATATTTGCAAAAGTTTTTAAAAAACGACGTCGAAATAGATTCGATAGTGCACGAGTAGCTACGAGTTGATTTGATAAACAGTGAACAGTRCGATGWTTGGTYTAACCTTTTGRAGTTMACTTTTTCGGGTGCAAAAGGGTTCCCCATATTTGGTCAAACCGCACCGGCGWAATTCAAACAAAAGACGTAAAACGATTTATCAATAARAGAAWCCGYAAAACTTGAAGAAGGATTAGTTGCTCAAAATCGYATTRCTGAAYTMAACAKTAGTTTTTTTGAGGTCATCAACATGGGTTCCCTACTCCTATGACGTCACTCGATGTTCGTTAAGATGCATTATGGGATTGGCAATGTACAACGGAAGTCATGATGTTGTTTGTACATATCGTTCAGTCTATTTGAGTATGTGCAGCCATCTTAACCATATAATCTTCAAGATCATTCTCGACAATGGCACAAGCTTCATTTCGTATTTTTTGTATAAAACACAGTGYTCGTGTTACTCCTTAAAATCCTTGAAAAGCCCTGAAATTGAAACTCTCGTCTTCAAGTGCACTTGAAAAGCCCTTGAAAATAGGAAAACCCGAAAAACTCTTGGATTACTCCTATAATCTGTTGCAGTCTGCAACTTTTTATTGAAAAGAGGAAAATTTTTTTCAAATGTCATGGCTGAAGAGTCCAGAAACCTCAAACAAGATTTAAAAATTATAATTTTTTGCTTTAAAAGTCCAGGAATTTTGTGATGAAAAGGTAGTATGAACCCCGAAAACTTCCGCCATCTTGATATTTATTCACCTACCATAATGCACTTCGCCAACGTGACGTCATACCGGTCGAAGACTCTGCAAACCGATATATGGGGCACAGTTTGATATAGAGTGGTTTCTTAATTATAACTCAGTGCTAATACATACATCTACAAGAGTTAAATTTTCTTTCCTGCTTTGAATTAATGTAGTGATGAGAGACGAGGAAGTAACGACGACGAACTCTCACCTCTCGGRATACAAATTCTCCCGTCGCCTCCCCTGTGGAAATCACTGTCACAGCAGATACTAGCTTTGGTAAGTGACGCTTGATATTCTGTATGTCACCACAGATCATTGAGGAAATGTGGAGTGATCGAAAGGATGAAGATGGGAAAGACCTAGGGCGGATCCAGATTTTTTTTTTTAAGGGAGGGTTGCAAAAGTTAGACTGGTGGAGAGATATATAAAGTGGAGTACTATGTGAATAACCGCAGATTGCGATCAGACTTCTAGCATTCAATGTTAGTTAGCTGCAGGGACACCAGAACAGGACTCAGCTCCTCATGCATAGGGGGGTTGCAACCCCCTCAACCCTCTCCCTAGATCCACCCCCGTGAAAACAGTTAGATTACAAAATTATTTAGTTTTCTTTGCTTTAGGGCTTGTACTATTTCTTTGTTTTAATTTGTTTGCTCTGGTGCGGTTGARTATTATTTCGTTCTGCTTTGCGCCTTTTGGTTTTTCACGATTTTGTTGTTCTATTAATAGATTCTTAAGGGAAGCCGGTTTTCTCTAGATCCAGAAGGAACTCCWTACTACGCATGGGCGGTAAGACTAATTTCAAAAACTGTTGGCCATAGAACTTTTTAGTCAGYTTAATGTAAATAAGTGTCTGCATTAGCGAGTGTCYGCTTTAAAGGGAGTTATTTTCAGTATTTATAGTGTTCATAATATAAGGGACGGACTGCGGAGTTTGCTCTATTAGTACTATTTGGTGCTTAGAGTGGTCAATKTATTGTCTTTATTGTAGGGCGTCACTACTGTAGCTGTTTTCTATAATTTGCTCTTTATCATCCTAAGRATTGCTTTTGTTGAGGTTCGCTTTGAGGTATGCTCTGAGTCATTACACGTTTATTTGTCGAATGTTTTTCCTCCAGAAGGAATTCAGAATCTGTATTATTTTACAGGTGATATTTTGTTGTATTCTTTGGCCGTTGGATTTCATCACTGATATCTTGTATWTGCTTGATATTGGAATACAATTAAAGAAAGCTTATAGAGATGATCATGGTATAATGGTGAGTACGTCTGCTGAAAAAAAAACTTTCCTATAGTTGTGTATGTTTTGCGTGCACAAGTAATGTTTGTTAAATATCTATTGGTAGATTAACGATCCAAGAAAGATGGCGGTTAATTACTGTAGTACAACGTTTTTTGTTGCTGATTTGCTATCGATATTGCCGTCAGAAACAATCGGTTTCATTCTTTCAGGTTAGTTTTATTTTGTTAGAATGAATGTTTGTGTAATATAGAGTGAGATCATTAAACCCGTGAAACAAAATTTGACTATTGAAGTGTGATGGTCAAATAGACACAAAAGAAAATGGAATTGGTTGAAAAGAAAATTGGAATTGGTTGAAAAGAAAATGGAATTGATGCGTACTAAGGTCTATTAGTGTAATATCTAATTAACTTTTTTTCATCCTAATTGGATAACACAATCAGTTTTTAATTATATTTCGTATCGTTTTAGTTTCACGGATTAAGGGCTTTAATATCTAATTGCTAATTTTTAAAGCGATTTACATAGAGTCAAAAACCCGTGAAATAGGTATTACACGAATAGACCTTTGTATGCCGGCTCTAATTGTATTGGTTTCTTTTGTGTCTTTTTCACGGATCTACAATTATGCCAAACTTTACTGTCTTCGCCATTTTTAGGAGAAAACTCACCAGTTTTYCGGATTCCTCGTTTATTCAAGCTTCATTTCGTATTGGGATTTTTTGAGATCAGCGATCTTCGAACCAGTAAACCTAACCGTCTGCGGGCCTTCAAACTAATACTTTACCTTGGAATTGCCATGCATTGGGTTGCCTGTGTATATTACATGATATCAGAGTACGAAGGACTGGGTTCCAATAGCTGGGTTTATCCARAGCCTGCTGGTAAAGATGGTAGACTGACCAGGTAAACTGGCACAGTTTTTTTCTCAACTAGACTGATTCCAGTCGGCCAGTTCGCTCCCCATAGCCGGGCTTCCTTCCCTGGTCCATGAGTCGCTACACTTTTATCCCGCTACGTGCGAACGGTTGGCCCGTTGCAGTGTTCCTTCTTTGGACCAATTTCCTAATTCTAAGTTTCTTGATTATTACAGAAAATACATTAAGTCGCTGTACTGGTCGATTCTTACCCTAACTACCATAGGAGAAACACCCGAACCAATTACTAATTTGGTAAGGTTTACAGATACAGTAAATTATTGTTATAACAGAGTATCCGCACTAGTGAGTGTCCGTTGTAAGGAGAATTCTCAGAAATTTATTTACAGCGGGGAATATTTAAGTGTCCGTAATAGTGAGGTGTTCGTTATATCGGGTGGTCCACAAGGTGACCTGACGGTGTATATTATGAATGAATGTGGTGTATTCCCTTAAAGTATTCCAGAATTCGGACAAACGAGAAAACGCCTTGTATATCAAGCATTGTTGGGTCATAATGGCTTCAATGGTCATAATGGAAATTCCGATATTCGAAGAAGACTAGGATAAACCAGGAATATTATATGAAGGTTATCTTGAAATAGTCGGACGTCCTCTTAACCTCTTCAACGAGGACATTAACATGCATGATGATCTCGTTTCATGGGAATAGGATTGATATTTAAGGATTTAAGTCATGACAATCATAGGTATCATTGTTCACTACTAGGAACACCTGTTTACTGGGTTCATGTTTCTGCTCGGTATTTTCGTGTTCGCTGCTGTGGTCGGAAACGTTGGTGACGTCATAAGTAACATGAAYGCGTCAAGGATGGATTTCCAAATCAAGTAAGTCAGGACACAACTATGATTGTAAACGTTATTTACAAATCGTGAATCTAAGGTTGATATGGWAACCTACGCGCYGTCATTTTCTCTGAGRGCAAAGCATGACGGTAGTCCTCGCGGTTTTTTACACTCATTTRAATAATCCAAAGCCTGTTTCTATCAAKTTCTTTGCGTTTAGTTTTACCATTTCTGTGAAGGAAACACGGAACGGATTTTAGTGATTGTTTTAKTGAACTTATGAAAATCTGAGGACTGCATGTTCCCGTCATCCTTTGCTCGAAAAATAGGCGTCACTGCATATTATGGATGTTTTCTCTTGTTTTATCAACTTTGTCAACTATGTTCACAATTCTTCTTTTTCACAATACGTCACAGCGGCCATCTTGGATRAACTTCAACAAAGGATTTMTCAATAGTATCTRTTGTTCATTCCTCCAACATGACCGCCGGTCTTTTRTCGGATCRTGGGAATTGTTGAAAACGATCAATACGAACAAARAGGGCGTGCRTAAAAAAASGCACATCAGGCCCTGTGTTAAGAAATTCAGATGGAATCTCGATTGGAAATCATAACACCTCGTTTGTTTTGTTAGAATGGATTACATCAARTGGTTCATGGAACACCATGGCGTTCCTGTTAGCGTGCAAGAACGAACTAAGAGATGGGCTTACTATGCATGGAGCAGGTATGTAATACTCGTACGTTCGCTGGTGTAAGCTGTAGTTCAACAGTGTACGCGCACTCCTTGAAGCAAACAGTAATGACGAAAAACCGTGTTGGCCTCTGATTTTGTTGTGAAGAAAGTTTAGAAACTCGCGTCTGATCTCCTATRAAGCTTGATCCCTCCTATTGCTTACTCAAAATAGTCACACGCTCTAGAATCGCTAAATCGAGCTCTCATGGTTTTCTTCAAATGCGCCTATTTATGATAAAAAAAGACAAATATGATGCGGAAAACCTAGAGATTTGAATTCAAAATTGCAACTGAACAAGTTTGATCCATACTGCAAGTGGCGATAAGGCGTTTGATTAAAAGGATACGGTGTTAATGATACAAAATTGTATAAAAATTGTGCAAATTTAGATCCCATGCCCTCCACGAAGGTGATGCTATGGCTTTGCTTCCACAAAGACTAAGGGCTGAAATAGCCATTCATGTACACCTTGCAACACTAAAAAAGGTACGTTTGATAAATTCACTGAACCCTCGTTATAACGGACACTTCAAGGACTGTAATTAGGCGTCCGCAATAGCGAGTGTCCGCATTTAAGAGAGTTACTCAGTAATTTCTTTAGTTCGTTGATTATATGACTGTCCGTAACAACAGGATGCCCGTATTATCAGGGTGTCCGTCATATCGGGGTGTGTTCAAGGTTTTCTATTGATTAATAAGGAGTTGTGTTTGGCGTAGGTGAAGATATTCAAGGACTGTGACGAAGGCTTGCTTTGTGAATTGGTGCTGAAATTGCGTCAACAGATTTTCTCACCCGGTGATTATATCTGCAGGTGTAGAGAAATAGGTGAGTTTATGTCTCTATATTTGTATTCGTACTGCAAGGACWAGTACCAGTTAGGGGATGTTTACATGAGATAAGGTGTCTATAGGTAGTACGACGGCTAACTCTTGCTTTTCTTTTCCTTGAAGGATTTRAACAAAAAGAGCTAGYCCTACTACCTGGGCTCACCTACCTTATTTAGACATCCCCTTAGTGCTAGTTATTTAACTCTCTTGTCTTTAAATGAGAATTTGTTTCAATCACAATGTTGTWAGCAACACCAATAGTGGCTAAGCAATTCTATTGGAAAAATTGATGTGAAGCGAGTAAAATTAAAATCCTGGTAGAATCTAATCTAGTAACACATCTTATATATATATATGTTGCCATTAGGAAGGGAGATGTACATCATCAATCGTGGAAAAGTCGAGGTAACTAACGGTTGTGCATGTTTAGTGTGTTTTCGAGAGTATGATGTTGATAATTCTTCTTTACACTAGGTTATTGTTCCTGAYGCCACTACAGGAGAGCAAGTTGTAGTCGCAAGTTTATCAGAAGGAAACTACTTTGGTGAGATCAGTCTCTTGAGACTGGATGGAGGGCGGAACAGGTTCGTAACCTTTTCTACGGACGTTTATCACCATTATCCATCAATATTAACAGAATTCAAAAGCTTTTACGTCACCAAAGTGATTTGCAATGCATTGTGGTATCAGTTTCACTGGAAAAAATCGAGCTCTTTAAAGGTTGTAAATTTCATGTAAATATGATGTAAGTGTCCAAAATTCTGTCAATTTGATGTAAATGATTTCCATTATGAAATTTACAACCTTTAAAGCGCGCGATTTTTTCCAGTGTTTCTGGAGAAAACAAAAGAAATCCGCCCTTTTTTGTCCCAGACATATCCTACAATGCATCGCGTATACGCTATATGACGTAAGACGTAATTGATATATATTATGTTTTTTGTAGACGGTCTGCCGACGTACGTTCTGTTGGTTATTCAGAATTACTTTGTCTATCACAAAGAGACCTAATGGAGGTAAATCTTGTTTCACTGACATCTTTCATGGTGTAATCACTAATAAAATCATTGTGCATCGATTATTGTGAATTTAGTTTAAAATTCACATTCTGACCTACAGTGTGGCTGTTGGTAGGGCACATGGTACTTAGATATAACTGAATCGAGCTATTTCTTGCTTTATGGTTGATCTGGCGTGAATGTCAGATCGCCCATCCCGCCGAGTAAGGAAACACAAAGCCTACTATTCCATTACTATAAGATCCTTTACTCTTTTTTATCTCGCTCCTTCTATTTATTTTGTTAAATCGTCAGTTCCTGTCTTTCAGGCATTGGAAGAATATCCTGAGGCAAAAACYGTCCTTGAATCTCAAGGGAGGGACAGGTATTTATATATAGGTTGCATGGAAGMAAAAGTCGTGACTGCACTTATCCCGTGAAATAATGCACTACAAGGACATTATCTTGTACCCCTAATAATTTCTAAAACTAACTTTATTTTTTGTTTAGATTACAAAGAACAAAATCTGAGGCGCTAAAAATTCCACTTGTGAAGGCCGATCCAGTTGAAAAACAACAGGAGCAACAGCTGAACTTCGGTAAAAACCAAACTAAAACAACATCAACAACATTTACAGCAAGAGTCATGCTTGAGAACAATCTCCAATAGTGCTAATTCTAGTTTATATTGTTTTTTTATCAATCTTTTTTTTCTTTCTTTTATTCTTTTTTTCAGTGAGAGAAATTAAAGAAATCCGTGAATCTATGACAGCCCTGGAACAAGCTATCGGCACAGTTAGTATACATTMATTTGYGATTCAACCTTGACGCTTTTCCTCTTCTACCCAACTCGCGAAGTGTTCACAGTTGTCTCTGTTTCGCGCTATTCCTTATGCAAGATACATCTATTTCAAAAAACGTTGTCAAAGAGAACGGCGATTGTCGAAGGGAGATTGCATGACCGAAAGGGACTATGGTTACACTGTTTTGACAAACAAAATTTCACTTATTGGATTCACCTTGCATAGAAATGGAGACTAAATGGAGCCAATGTTTACCACAGACCATATTACAGTATAAATCAGTTGTTATTTTCCATCAATTAGCAAAACCCATGGCTACTCGATCGTGCAATCGCCGTTCGACAATTGACATTCGGCAGTTATCCGACAACCTTTTTTGAAATATGTATATATACTTTTTAAAGTATATACATATTAAACAAATTCTACATATGACGTTCTTCACTTTGCACAGAAATGACAACATCAAAACATTGGATATCAATATTATTTTATTTCATATTTTCCTTTTTTKCAGAAAAATTCTGGGCAACTACATGAAAAATTAAATAAGTTACAAGAGCGAATTACTAAATTAAATCCTTCAAATTATCAAGAAAGTGAAGAAGATCCCTTATTAACTAATGAAAAATCATCTCAATTGACTTCTTCAACCAGTCAGGAACCGGATCAGGTTGAAAAACGAACAAATCGATTGGCTGTTGWCACACCCAGCCAATCACCATCMAGAATAAATATRTCACATGACCGCGAGACACATGGTAGTTTCCACAACCAATCAAATGTCACATCTCCAATGGAGTCAACRAACCAGTATGGCAGATTGCTGAAGAAGATCATGAAGGTGGCAAAGGAAGCAGCCATTGAAAGAGAAAACTCCGAGAAAACACAAGATAAACTCAAAAAGCCTGCATCAACACCAAAGAATCAAGAAATTGAGCAAACAAAAGAAARCTCACAATTGCGCAAAAACTGTCGCTTTAGACCGCTGACCAGGCGAAGTAAGAGCCTGCTATTGACTAAAGTATGCCTAACACCCAAGATAACTTTAGATAATGATATTGATGGTGAATGCTGTCTACATCCACCACGAAGATACTCAATAACACTACCTGTTGAAAACAAAGATGCTTTGGTATAAACATACTTTTATYAGAATTAGATTATTTATTGATGTTATTTTTTATATATTTTAGTATATTTATTATGAATTTTCAATTTTGTTATGAAAGTATGTGCTGAACGCACACGTTATTTATTAATAATTTGTAAATAAATTGATCAGTTAGTGTTTATACTCAGATTTTCTGATATTTTTACTGCATATCTGCTCTATTTCTCTACAATGTGATGCACTGTAATCTGAGTTCATAGAAGTAGAAATCTCTAGTCAGAAGCAAAAACCGAAGCAAAAGATTCTAGTCATCTAGTAACCTCAGTTCAAAATGGCTGCTACAGTCAACTCTCGCCTTACAGACACTCCACTCCAACGGACACCTCGATATCGCGGACAGTAAAATACTTAATCCCCGGTGAAAAATACAAAGAAATGACTGACAGTAATTCTCGTTACTACGGACTCTCGCTACTGCGGACACTAAATTACGGTCCCGAGGGTGTCCGTTTAGCAAGAGTTGACTGTATATGTTGTATTTGCAAATATGAGAGGTCCTGGAGCGTTACGAAACAATTCTTTTGCTMATTCAGATTCTACTTGGTGGCTTCACTGCCTCCATTTTAAAACCTGTCCACTTAGTGTTTTTATTTTTAAAATCCACCATCTCTGTGAACTACACAAAATGGCTTGCGTRTGCGTTTTATTTTGTAATAAAAACGTGCGAGGAATTCATTTCTCATTTTAGACGTTCTTCTTGAGATTGCTTTTTRCAATTTTAACTCAAAAAGGCTATCAATAATAAATCATGCCGAAGAAACCTGTTTTGGGGTTATTTGTACCAAGTAAGCAAAGTGAAGAAAGTTTGTTATATGAATGTAAATAAAACCCATAGTCTATTAACTATGATAAAACCGAACCTGAGTATAATACCTTGAATTAACGGCTTGTTTTAATTTGCGTGGAATTCGCTATCAAAAGATAATGTTTCCTGTATTTTATGGCCTTTCATGATCGGCTATAAGATCATGATAAGTTAAAGCACGAAAAAAAAAATGGAAATAATTTTTTTTTCCGAATACAAGTTTTCGGACAATTATTTATGTAAACATAAGTCATAATTTTTCGTTTACTCAGAATTTTGATAAACGTTTTCAATATAAATGTCGCAAATTAAAATAAATCATAATGAAAATAGAAAAAGAAATTGTAATTGTAWCAATGAGATTTTGCTTTAGCCGAGCTTTCTAGGCTTTTGACCCAAACTATGCTCTCGGCAAATCTACCTAATCAAGTTTTTTTTTCATATTTATTTTCATTTGTGGCAACGTTTTTGCAAGCAGGTGCATGTATTTGTCTATTGATATGGTCTGTTTACTACTGGCGAATTACACTTTATCTGCCGATTAAAAAAGTTCATATGGATTCATTGTGGTGTTCAGTGAAATGGGTAGATTTTGTGTGCACACTTTATAGCACGATTGCGTCAATTTGCCGCCAAGGACACAATTATTACCGTAGTTTGATTCTCATTCTGACTATTGTGGCTTTTGGAATTAGCATTCTGGTCAGTTCTGACCCCTATGGTGAAAATGGACCATTACGTCAACGGCTCTCATAACTAGGCAGACTACAAACAAGTTTAAGTGCTGAATTTGGATTTAAACGCCCGCTCTGATTGGCTGGTACCGATTACACTCTTGCTAAAAAAACAGAATTGAATATGACTCATTATTATTATTATTATTATTATTATTTCACAATACTACAACCCTTCCCTGGGAAGCTTATATATATCGAAGGGGACCACGTGCTTTTAAAAGGACATGGTTCACCAGCATTCAATGCAGTCGTGCTTTAATATTTTCATATATGGCAAATGATGCGACTTCGAATATCCATTCGCAATCCGTTTCTATCCATCGGTTTAAAGGTCGAATCTTACAGTTTCTCCATTCAATAGTATAAAGGGATAATAAAGAGTAAGTTTTTGCTTAGTACGATCGCGGTATTTTTATTTCAAACATGAGCAAAAGCTCGAAAGGGATGCTGGTGGACCATGTCCCTTTAAGGCGAATTTCATTAAATTWCCTTCGTACGTGAAAGAATATTTGTGATTGGCTTTCACTCATTTCCACTAAAGATTAGGAGTTTTCGCGCGGATAATYAATAATGCAAGATTGGCAATCTTTAAACAACTTCCGCCATATACCACTTTGCAAAATGTAAATTTCTGACAGTTCCTGATGAGCGATCTGGGTAGTCATGGTAACATAGATGACGTCAAGAGACTCCTACTCGTCGTATACTTCACTGAACACCTTGTTACAACCCAACAAGAAACAATACGGTGGAAGTCCCTGTAGGCTTATTACGCAGCGAAGATAATGTCGGCTATCGATAAACCTCCTGCTTATCCCCAACAGCCAGCCTATACTCCACAGCAGCCGGGCTATCCTCCTCAGCAGCCGGGCTATCCTCCTCAACAAGGATACAGCACAACTACCACAATCGTTCAGCAACCAACAGTGGTGATTGCACAGTCTCCATTCCTCGAGAATCCAGTATCGACGCAATGTCCTATGTGTAAAGCTAGTATAATAACTGGTACTCATTATGTGACGGGGACTTTAACATGGCTAGCTTGTTTTGGGCTTTGCATCGTWGGGTGAGTTTGACACACTAATCCCTGTGTTTTGGCATAACTGTGATAGTTTCCCTTGTCGTAGTTATTTTAAAAGTCGTCTTTTCATGCTTTTGACGTTTTAAAATCGATAAAATAAGTAACTCAACCGAAAAAGGCCATTAATATTTTACGAGTTTATGTTTTGGCTCCATAAAAGGCACCTTGTATTATCAGAAAACACAAAGCAACATTAAAATAGTACAACGATTATCGGGAAAAAAACTGACCATCGGATTGAAGATGTATTCTCGCTAAGTCGGTATTTCTTAGAAAGAAAGGAATTTGCAAAAAATTCAGTTTTAATTCTAGACTTCGCTAGTTTTCCTACCAGAATAATTTGTTTACCTTTTCAATGTCGTCAGCCGTTACTGCGAAAGTAAGATAAAATATTCAGTTTCCCGGCTCTCTCTTGTGTTTTTCCGGTAAGCTGACTTCCGAATATTCAAGAGGTGAATAACATATTGACATTATTTGCCTTTTTCCTTCTCGTTTTAAGCCTTTGCTTAAAACCTGTTGTTACGCAACGGGTATCTCGCTGTCCTGAAAACCACAGCAAACGCTCTTAAACGTTTAGTAAAATAGCCTAGCGGCGCTAACGTTGTCAAGGTGTAAAAGACAGAATAACAAAAAGCTGGAATTGAATTCCAATTTGGATATACATRCAATAGTATCCGTTAGCTACTGCTACCGATCAAGTCGAAGATCAACTTAATAACAAAGGTTTCTCGATCAGTAGAAGCAGCTTGGCGAAATCTCCAAGATACTGAGTGTCTTAATATTTTCCAAGGGAGACTGAACACGCGAAATTAATTTGCGCGAAACCGAAAAAAGAAACGAGCGATTCCGAAATTGAAACCGAAATGAAAAACTATAATCCGAGACACGTGACTACGCATTCGAATCAAACTTTTCAAAGAGTGCATCGTTACGTATAGACAGATCCAGCATTTCAGAAAACGAATCCTCTGAAACCTAGAGGCTTTTGAGAGGCGGCAGACTCAATATTATTGTAATATCAAAATGCATAACGTCAACACTGCATTTCTGTATGGGAATACAATATGAATTTACAATTGCTAGAATCTCTTTTATTGAAAATATGTCTTCATAGTGATCCTTCAACGAAAATTATCCACACAGTACATTTTACTTTTATACAAGATAGATCACGTTTTAGACACGATCATCCGGAAATATTTCGAAATCTATACGACTAGCGAGGCGCACTATTTATAGTAAAAAATCCGGAAATTTTCTAAATCTCTCCAACTAGCTAGGCGTGTAAAAAAAACAACAGCAACAAACTTGGAAAATATATTTTTCGCTCCGTTTCATGTAAGGAGAGCTGTAACGTGATCCTTCACTTAATGGGTATCAGTTCTTTGAAAGTCCATCCATTGTTTGACAATTTCTAAGTGCTCCGCTTTTATTAAGCATMATAATTAAATGTTGATTATTAATTTACTTATCTTGACCGATCACCAAATACATGGCTCAAATCCATTTGGACAGTGTCCGTCGAGAACATCCAATGGACATTACATGTACGCACAAATTAGTGTGAAAAAAAAAATCGCATAAAAAAATGGATGAGGCGGTGCCTAAAAATATGGGATAAATTTTCCGTCTTTCGTATTGCGCTTTTTTTTTGTCCCTATTAATCACGGTTTAATTGCTAGAAACTTTTAATGGATATACATACCTCCTAGATCGCCTTGATTCAAATTAATGTTGTATTTGGCTGYTCGAAATTGTTGTCCCACGCATTCGCCGGATTAATGGTGGTCTGAAAAGCGACTCGTTAAGAGGGTAAAGTTTTAGAACCATCGCTGAAATGTGGGCTTAATAATCATCAATATCAAATTATTATTGCTGTTTTCAGTATTAACTTACATCTATTAGGGTCTTAAAAAAACACGAATCATAATGTAACAAACTTGAAAGACAACTAAGAAAAGCGTGCACAATGATTAAAGCGTGGTACGTGCAAGTGTGTTTCACGGCTTTAGGAAAACCACTCGAACAGGAGAGGGCACTTTCATCTCGTTTGATTGATTATTYTTATAGAGTGTTTTCATGAACGCCAACTGGGAATATGATTATTCCCTACATTGCCTACGATAAATGTAAACCCATGAAACCAATTTTAAGCGACTCCTTCAAAGTTTGTATATCTAATGAAGCCTCCCTTGACGTCACATCATTGGCATTTTCAATTTTCGAATGCCTTTAATTCAGAAAATAAAATTCAAAAAACTTTTTCTTCTTCAAAACAATGATTAGMATCATATTTGCCTTTTGTTAGAAATGATTTTCTAAAATATGGTTCATATGCACTCTCAATTTATTTATGCAGGACCATGCTGAAATGCATGAAAGAAACGCGTGGGATTGCGATTTCGGGCTTTATTTTTCCTTTTGGTGCCGAAAAGTTAAATTTTCTTTCTATTTTATTTCATTTCTCTTTTATTTCTTTATCATTTTTGTTGCAGATGTGATCTTGGCTGCTGCTTCATTCCATTTTGTATTGAYTCACTCAAGGACGTCATCCATACTTGCCCCAATTGTCAGGCACAGGTTGGCGTTTACAGACGAATGTAGGGAGAACTGTCATCTAAAGGCGAAAAAGACACTTAAATGTAAATAATTCCATAGACTTCCGTTGTGGTGGATATTTTCGGCAGCTTTAGAGGCGGTTTTTAATAATGCCAAAGAAAAAAGACTTTGCACTAGAATCATTGAATGGCACGTCCTTCTATCATTACAATAACCGCCGGCAGCAAAAGAAAAAAAAACAACAACATTTTTTTTACTTTTCAAGGGTTTTAATCGTAAAGTTGTAGTTAAATAGCCAGTACAAAACATGCTTTTTTGTGCGCCATTATAACACATTTCGTTTGCTTCATTATCAAGTGTATTCATGTAATGTTTTGTTCATTTTTATATAACTCTAGACTGAATCTTCTCTGCCAGTCTCTTGTTCCCGACGCGAGAGATGGTTTGTATTAGTGTATTCATCGGAAACTACAACAAGCGAGACTCTTCTGGCAGGGAAGATTGAATCATTGTTACCAAGAGAAAATGAGTTAGCTCTTTTCTCTTGTTGTTACATATACACCAACCAAATTCTAAAACAAAAGCAACCTCAATAATTCAAAATGAACGCACTTAACCTGTTAAAGTTTTACTCATATGACCTCGTTGTACTATTCTGCAATTTAAAGGACGTTCCGCTTCACTTACAGATTTAGTACAAATTGTAGCTCATTTTGATTGTGTACAACGAATTAAATGCGTTCACTCAACTATAAGTCATAATTAGTAAATAGCTATTCCAAAAAACTGCGAGCACTGAATACTGAGGCACTGAATACTGTATCTTCCAAGACCAAAAAGCTGAAAAGGAATTTTAGTATTGCAAAAAACCTATTGATCATTTTCGATGAGATTCAAAAGATCGGCGGCCATGTTGGATGAATGAACAATAGACTACTAACGATGAAGAAATTCTTTGTTGAAGTTCATCCAAGATGACCGCTTTGATGTATATTGAAAACGAAGAATACTGAGTTGGAATAACCATTTTTCAACCGCATTTATCTGCGGCTAAAAGGAGTGAAACCGCGTCAACGGCGAACGTAGTTAAAAAAATTATTTAGACATCTTTGCGTTGTCTTTGCGTTAGTAGACAGTACTCAGAGTTTTTTGAAAAAGCCGTGTGTACACAGATCACATATTTTTCTATAAATTCAGAARATTTACTGCACATATTACAAATAAATAAAAGTCTAGTGGCCCGAATCGTCGCGATTGCATGAATGAAACTCGTTTTCAACGTTATTAATTAAATCCGTCGAGAAAATGAGAAGAATGCGTTTGGGGCGATTTGGACGATAATAGAACACTAGGCATAAGTAGTCATTAAATTAGAATGACACCCACAGCATTCTAGAACATTTAATCAGTTAAACAGATGTACAAATAAAAGCATTCTTGGAACGCAAGTTCTTCTTTTAGAAACAGCTTCGARCGTCTTGTTTCAGTAGCCTGCGTTCAGCCCGACAGTTWTGGTTCGGCTGARCRCATGCTATCTTGTTTTTGTGTGATTTGTTTTTCGTAATTGAATATATAGGCAAACATCTTCTAATGTTTGTAGCTAATCCAAATGAGATCGTCTCGAATGCTTCCTACTTTCGCAAATGTTTTGACTGATTCAACTTCTATTTTTTGTGAATTTCTTTTCCAATGCGATTAGGAACTAATCAATTTGTTTTCTGAAATGCATTGTTATAGCTTATGAGTTGCCTATTATTTCAATACCAAATGTTTCCCCAGTTATGAAAAAAACTAATAGAAGTTGGAACAGGCAAAGAAAAACACACAAAAAACTAACATAAGACTTAAACTTGTTTCCATTGACAGGTATCCTGGGTTAGTCTTGCTAAAGATAAAAAAAATACAAACGAAAAAGTAAGAGAAAAATATAGATTAAGCCAACAACATAAAAATTTTATTTTTTTACGTAATGCATTTGTTAATATACTTTTGGTCTTTCTGCGCAAAATTACAACGAGTGGGACTGGTTCCAAGTGACGTGTCTMTTCTGCAATCATAAACAAAATGGCGGACGAAAAACCGGTTTATTGGTAAAAAAGAAATTATATTTTATTTTAACTATTCGGGAGAAATGGAGGGTCTCTACCAACAGACAAATAGGTAAGGCTTACTTGATTGGTAAAACCATGTTTTTTTTTCAATTATGAAAAAGTGATATCTATATATTTGGGTGAATTGATCCAAATTTCGACGTACCGTAAGATATTTCCAACTTTGCTTCAAAAACAGTCTTTCAGCGATTCTTTATTTTAGATTTAATAATCCATGTTATAAAGCCTTATACAAAATATCCTTGTCAGTGTTTGATATGATGACAATCATAGTTGTTTTTCACGTGTCAATGTAATGTTCAAAGGTTTTTCTTGTGAATTGTCTTCTCTAGGCTCGTTTTACAAATACAGAGTCAACTGAACAAACTTGGWATCGTACAAGGAGAAAGTCTTGATGGTACGATAAACAAATTGTAATGATAAAAGGTCGACATGGGGTGATGATATGATGATCATGATGATAATATTGATGCATGATTTTCTTGCAAAATGACTTCTGATTGGTTGGAGAACATTCAGTCATTATTTAACTTAACTGATAAATGCACAATATTAATTTTAATGCTGGGATTTTTAGTAATTGTGATGATAATAGTGTGACAAATAGTGAGGTACCTTACCAATCATCAAGTGAGAATTGACTTTGTATTACAACCTCKTCATAAAACTAAATTCATATCTGCTCATGATAAACTTTCTATGCAAGCAACAGTCAAACTAATAAACAAGTTAGCTTAGATGGCAATGGCAACAGGGGTGGATCTAGGATTTTTGTTGACTGGTGCCATCCTTCAAACCAACCATACCCCATATACCATAATTGCAAAATTACGATTTTTTAGCAATTACAAACATGTAAATTTTGAAACTCTAAATTAACTATATTACACATACGGATTATCGACTCTTCGGCCATGTAGGGGAATATAATTGCGCCCACAAAAATTATAATCTTGAATAATGACGCGATTATATCTCTATTATTGGCTATTTGTTGCTTTAGCAACGTACTAGCTGCTGATCGAAAGGCACTACTTCTTGTCTCATACTTCGTATTTGTGTGTTTGACATTTTATACCGTTTGAATGACCTTCGAGGCATTGAAAGAGTAGACGGTTGTCCATCGAGATATTCTGAATAAGCCAACCACGAAAAATTCTTTAGCCCGACTTTATCAATACAGGATTGGATCTTCTAGTTCTTCTAACTTCTTTTGACTCAGGGAATACAAACGCGTTATCGGCCGGCAGAGTTTGTATTAACTCTGTCCCGCTGTCGGCCGGTTTCCACACGTTTGTGATTTGATCGTTTTTAATCAGAAGATCGTTAAACAAAACACCTAAATCAAATAAGAAGTCGAACCTTTCGGCAAGCTGGATCTCCACGATTTATATTTCAAGCCATGTTTTATAATTCTCACTGTATCGACTGTAAAGTTTTATTCTTGAGTGTCTTGTGAAATACATTCTGGTGTCACGCTAGCTCGATCTTTCCTAACAGTGCCGACTAGTGCCAGCCATACAAGTAGCCAATGAAAATCGACTTTGACTAGTGCCAGAAAACATGAGAAAACAAAGCTGACTAGTGCAAACCAATAGGATGCACGTTTGACCAGTGCCATATGCTAATATAGGGGCAACTGCGTGACAACATATCATTTGAAAGCAATATTCCCGTGGGACTCTACCCAACRCACAAATTTTGTATCAAATGAATATGCTGTACAGGATTCCTGTGGCAGTGGCAATTATCGTTAAAAAAGTCTATAAAATTACGTTTTTAAACGCATTTTGACGATAATATATTTAGAAAACATTGAATTCTTTTACTTTTAAAATACTTTGACTAGTTCCATGGAACTAGTGGCACTAGTCTAGATCCACCCCTGCCCGGCTGCATTGTAAATTGGAGTAGAATATCCAGAATGCTTTCCAAGCATTTTGTACAACAATTTTCCATAAGAACGATAGCCAAAATTGTAACTTTTTATATTTTTTTCCAGAATTGGAGCAAAGTATTGACAACACGTTACATGAGGTGTCAACCAACTGTGACAGGCTAGCACTTCTTGTCAATAAAGAGCCTCCACATAAAAGACAAAGTGCAAAAATGTATGTTTGTTAATTAACTAAATTGAATA